TTTTATTTTTATTATTTTTTATTTTTTATAATTTAAATAGTACAACCGTATTTTAATTTATTTTAATAGACTTGTTTTGATACGTCGCGCCTAATCACTGGGGTCCTCTTTTTATATATATAAAAAATAGTATAGCCGTACGGCTATACGCAGTTTTTTAAATTGTTTTTAGAAAGTACAGCCGCACGACGATACTATTTAAATACATTACATTTAAAGTGTATAGCCACACGGCTAGACAATTTAATCGAAATATATATATATATATATATATATATAAGGACCCTCCTAGTTGCATTAGTTTGTACTTTATAGATATGAATTTGCTAGTTTCCACATATCCAAAGTAGATATTAATCGGCCACTATATAATATTTTAATATAATTTTATAACATATTGTTGAGGCCCAAAAAATCCATAGTTGGGCCCGAATAAATTATCAGCCCAAAACGACACTCTACTAAGGAAAAGCGTAAAGCGGAGTACACGAAAACCCACCACATGCGAGTTGTAGTTCACGTGCCATGCTAAATAAATTAGCCATGCTTGGGGTTGAGATAAAATATACCAACTCTACAAGCTCATGCCAAACTTAAACATCGCAGTCCTTCCCAAGGACGATAAAATTAAAACATGCCAAGCAACATGCCATGCCAAGCACAAAATCGTTATCTCACACCTAACCACGCTACAAGCCTAAGTGGGCCCAAGCCACAAAATTAACCGGGGCTTACTGAAAAGGTTGTGGTATGGAAGGAAACAAGCAATTACGGGGCCCATTGAGGGTTCAAGGAACGTAAGTTTCAAGCCACTTGGGGGCTTTGAAACTCAAGCCCGTTCCTAGAACCCAAGCACATGGGTTAGCATGAGAGAGAAGAGAAAAATTGCCCCATGCTCTAGGAAGACACCAAAAAAACCTACCAAAATATTTAGCCCAGCCCACATCAATAGAGTTTAAAAACCCTTTCCAGCAGTTTGACGAAAATTCACTAGAAATAATAGGCCAGCAGCCCAAAAGTCACGCACAAGCCCAATCCAGCAGCTTGTACAAAAGCTGTCATCGTGTTCCACCTCTGATAAGACTCCAAACAAGTCAGACAAAGGGTCAAGGCAAGAACCAGCAGAAATTCATGGGTAAAGGGAAAATACCCATCAGACAAAAGGCTCCACCCATCTCTTTCCCCATTACAAGCTCTGTTTTGAAAACGCAGAGAGAAAGCAAAGTGGCGCCTCACCTTTGTAGGGAGGTCCAGCTGCGTCAAACTTGTTGGAACCACGATGGTTCCTTTCCCATACGCCTTGATAAGAGAATTGCACGAAAATAGGGCTAAGTAGGAGCTGCCAAGGAAAAAGGAAGAGGAAGACCAGACAAAATTAGAGCTCTTAATGCCTATAAAAGGAGACTTTTGCTACCCAGAAAAATCAACCATCCAGAGCCTGACCAAGCTTTGTCAAGCAACCTGGAATCTACTCAAGCCACCCAAACCTTTCTTTCGTTCATCCTTCTTCTCCCTTAGGATAGGAATCGTGCTAATATTTCCTCTGTAAGAAACCAGAGCCTGACCAAGCTTTGTCAAGCAACCTGGAATCTACTCAAGCCACCCAATCCTCTTTCTCCGTTGTTTTCTTCTTTCCCTGAGATAAAATCTTGCTAATATTTCCTTCGTTCCCAGTTTAGATTTTATCCTCTGCAAGAAACTCATGCTGTTTTCTCTCTCTCTCTCTCTCAAATTGCTAAACTCGTGAAAGCTTAGCTCCCATGCCACATGCTCCTCAGGCTAAGTCATTAGTGAAATCATCATGCTTATTTGGGTGTTAGTAAAGTGATCCTGAGAGTGTTCTTTTAAAATCTCATCAGATTTTCTAAAAACTCTCTTGGGAGCTTGGTTTCGAACTCAGGCATTTGGGGGATTTTGCTCGTTGTCTTCTTACAGCAGCCCAGGCCCATTCGTCAGGCTGCTGGAACAAAAAACCCCCTACACATATATGATTCTTATTCAATAATATGTGAGAATTATTTGTATAATACATGAATTTTGTGTGTCTTACTGAAACTTTTGTAAAAAATATGTATATAAAACATTAGAAATATGTACGTACATGTACAATACAACTATTGTACATTTGCTTTTTTAAAAACGTGAGACGTCTATAGAACACGAATGTTCTACTAAAAAATACACACGTACATATATATATATATATATATATATATATAAAAGACTATAGCGGCTCGTCTATATTATTTGTTAAAGACAATTTTTAAAAAAAAGTAAAGCCAATCGGCTTTACCATTTTTTAAAAAGAAAAAAGAAATAATCGCATATAGCCAATCAGCTATACTATTTACTTAAAAAAACAGAGTAGCTGCATGGCGATAGGCTCCCACATGTAAAATAGTATAGCCGGTCAACTATACTTTCTAAAAAAATTAAAAAACTATACTAATTTTTATATAAAAAAGAGGACCTCAGCGATTAGGCGCCACATGTTAAAACAAGTCTATTTAAAAACAAAATTAAAAACACGGAGTATAGCCATGTGACTGTACTTTTTTTTTTTTTTTTATATAAAAAGAGGAGCCTCTAGCAATTTGGTGCCACTTGTCAAAACAAGTCTATTTTTAATAAAAAAAAATTAAAAACACGGAGTATAGCCGTGCGTCGGTACTCTTTTTTTCTTTTCAAAAGAGGACCCTCTAGGATTACGTGCCACATGTCAAAAATACGTATAGCCGCCCGGCTATACTAGCTATACTGTTTAAATACATTATATTTAAAAGGTATAGAAAAGAACAAAAAAAAGAAAAAAGGACCCTCCTAGTTGCTTTAGTTTTTACTTTATAGATATTAATTTGCTAATTTCAACATATCCAAAGTAGATATTAACCGGATTTTTCCTCCATTTCGGGGTTCTTTAAGGCATGGTTTTAACAAGGCCACAATTGCTCCATCACGGCTCCATTTTTTTTGGTTTTGGGGATTAGTGTTCTTTTATCTTTTTTGTTTCATCGTGATTGTTTCAGGCGCAAATCTTTTAAGATCCTGCTCTTGTTCTTGGTTGTCACGTTTGATTTTGGATGTTTTCGTCATCTCGGCTATATAATCTTATGGTGTCATAAGGAGTTCATGATGTATTTTTATGATTTTTAATATTTTTCTCATGTCTAGGACATGCCTCTCTGGAAACATGTTGATAATGAATGATCTCACAATATCGGCTCAGCATATGAATGTTCTCCAAAATAATAGTAATTTTCCAAGGTACGGAGCAAATTTTTAAAAAAAAATTAAAAAAATTGAAATTTGTGTAATTAAGTTATTAGTACCTAATTCATTGGTTGATATGCTTGTTATATACAATTTGGGAAGTATCATAAAAACAAAATAGACTATCGAAATTTCAATTGAAAAAATTGGCATGAAAGTTAGCCCAGTCATTTTTAATCCCGAGACCGTGCCTGCGACAAAGAGATAGTTGAGGTTCCTTAGAGCATCCACAATGATGCTCTCTATTTTTTAGCTAAAATTTGGCTAAGAATATAAGAAAGCTATTTTAGGAGCTCTCTAAAAAATTTCAACTCCAACCATACTCCCTAATTTGGAGAGTTGTAAAAGCTATAACTCTTTTTTGATTGGTCCATCTTTATTAAAAAATAAAATAAAAAAGGTTAGCATTAAATAAAGGTTTGAAATACTCATTAAATAAAGCAGCATTAAATTATAGGGAGCCACTAGGAGTCCTTTCTCTCTCCTCAGATTTAGGAGCTCCTAGAGGACTTCCTATTTTAGGAAGTGGATAGGGAGCGTGGTTGGAGTTGCATTTTTACCATTCCTCCTTAAAATTTGTCTAAAAGCATCTCCAATGGAGATGTCAAATACCAAACATCAAATTTAAATTTGATGGCTGATGTGGCAATTTAACATTTACACAATTTTACACTCCACTCGATATGTCAAATAAATAATTATTGTAATAGTCAAATTATTTAAGATAAAGAAGAAGAAAAATTAAAAAAAGAAAATAATAAATGAAAGTACCAACTAGCTGTCTTTAAAAACTAATAAAATATTCATTTGACATCTTGCTTTTGGGATGTCAAAAATAACACCTCAACCTCCAGCCTTCATTCCATATCAGTTTTAACACATCGGTTGGAGTGATGTGAGATGTTATTTCTAGCTGTTAAATGTCTATGTGGCACTTTTGACACATCGGTTGGAGATGCTCTAAGGAGGTAGTTTATGAAGCCCATTGTGGATGCTCTTACTTATTGATCAAAATATGGGGGGCGATCTCCTCCAGTATAAAATGGGTGGACAAGGAAAAAAAAACCGAACTTTCAAATTGTGGGTTTAAAATTGGTGCTTAGTTATCCACATTTACCAAAATACCCTCTTGTGTAAATACGAATTTACATTTTCTTAAAATAAGTTGTGTGATATTGGACTTAACAATCATAAAAATAGAAAGAAAAAAAATCATAAAGAAGACAAATTAAATAGAAATAAAAAAATCAGAAGGTACGGCTGATGCCTCTCAAAACTTTCAACTTTTTTGTTACAAGATGTAGCTCGTCAGCTCTTCGGCTTTGATTAGCGGAAGCTGATGAAGGAGGCTGAGTTTGTTTAGGAAGCTTGTCTAATGGACATTTTTCTGTTGAATGTCATCATATATCATATCTCAAAGAATTATAAATAAATAAAATATAAAATAAAAAAAACACACATTCCAGTCTTCTGGCTGTGGCATACATGAAATTGAATGCTGAAATGTATGAACTAACTGAAACGCAGGAGTAGAAATTTCAAGTTCCTATATGATAGCATTTGATAAGAACAAATTCAATCCTCAATCTGGCATTTTGAAGCCAAAAACATGGCGGATATTTCAAGTACATTTTTTGGGCGATCTTATCTGTCTTCCAATATGTTTTGTACAATCTGCATACATCCATAACATCTTGCAGACCTTTCACATGGCAGCTTCACCTAACTTTTTAGGGTCTGGAAAATAGCTCCGGAAGATGGGCGTTTGTAAGCTTTGTCCTCTTGCTGATCTCGTGCTTCTTCTTCTTGGGTTTGGCTTTGTTAGGAATGCCTTGACTCTGTGCCAGGGCCCTCCTCTTTGCAGTATCCGTGGCTGGCTTCATCCCATTCTTCTGGAGTTCTTTCTCAATGTCAATCATATCACGAGGTAATTCAATCGACCTAAAGAGCACCTTAAGCTCATCATCAACATTCATCGCAGGCAACCTGGGGTCATTTGGATATGCTATGTCCTCTTGTGAATCAAAGTTTGAAAGCAGCCAGATGTCACCTGCAGCTTTCAAAGCCTGAAAAACAATTTTCCTTATTAATATTTTATTGTAAGAGATAGAAATTCAGAAATTTATTTAGTTAATAATCATTTACCTGCAAATCGTCCATCACATTCGGGTATGCATCCTTGAGATCAATGACAGCTATGCCCTCTGGATATTTCCGTATTAAAGAACGAAGCTGGTTTTTATCCGTCACATTATGCTTGGACTACATATAAAAAAATACAAGTAAAAATACATCCTTCATGGATGTGATAAACAAAAATGCTATCAATACTTCAATTGATAAACACCTGCTAGTCTACTGTAGCATGCAGGTATCCAAAGTTACCTTATAAGAGAAGCGCCTCCCATCATAATAAACTTTTGGGTTATTCCTCAGACTGTCAAAGACAGCTTTGTTAGCATTCGCATCAACATAACATGCTTCATTAATTTGCTCTGGCGTAAAGGCTTGCCTTGTCTGCAAAAATATGTAAACACAGAGATTCAGTCACTGGAAGGTCCTAGCAAAGTTAGCAGGGGAAGGGAGGGAGAGTAAAAGATGTTAACAGGAGAGCACAAAACTACTCCAACTCAATTCCAGATTTGCTACCACTTTTAGCCCCTTTCTGATTACTCCAATTGAACCCGTCACGAATCTAAAATATTTAACCACAGAATCTAAAATATTTAACCACAAAACTGGTTCCAAACTATTAAAGCGGGATAGTATAAATTCACCTAAGAGTTTAACATCATTATAAAAATATGAACACAACTTGCATCTGTATGTAAAAATACATCTACAATTTTCCTTGCTGTGTATATCTCCAACACAAAACAAACACAAGTTTACAACTATGGGAACCTCAAAGTCATTTCCTTTCAGGCTTTAAAGTGCACACACCACTTAATTATGAACCATTGTGACTGATAAAATAATATAAAATAATTTACATCAAGGAAGGAATGGGAAATGTGGGTTTAGTTTGAACCTCCAACAGCAGGTCTATAACACGCTTGATCTGAGCTCCAACAGGGCCTTTCCGGATGCTATTAATGTGTTGGAGTCTCTCTGTATCATTTGAAAATTTGACAGCTGGAGGAGGAGCCCTAGCTGCTGCAGGAGCGGGTCTCGGAGCTGCCGCGGCCTTGGTAGAGGCAATGCTGGAAAGGGTTGTCTGGCACTTCTCTTGCTGCTTCTTAAATCTTTCTAAGCTTTCTTTTAGTGACATCTGCAATTAACAATGTGATGTAGGATATGGGTGAATTATAGATTTAGGTAGATTAGAGGCAGCGAAACAATGGAAAACAGAAAATAGAACAATAAAATAGGTCTGGAATCACTCATGTGGCTTCACACCAGACCTTGGCCCAGAATTCTCCAATCTCTAGAATATAAACTTTACTCAATAACTCAACTTTGCATAATGGATTACATGGGAGGGGTATTTATAGCAAACCAAAACCTAGAGAAAAAATTCTAACCCAGATAAATTAGGGAACTAGAAATCCTACCGAAACTTGGAAAATAAAACCTATTGAAATCTGGAAAGCTAAAATTTCAACCCAACCATAACGATAATGTTGGATTGGTTGATCGTTTCCCCCTTCGTTGATAAACCTTAAAAGGTTTGTCATGGATGTCCGCATCACAACGTCTACTTAGAATTCATCATATCTATCAACCAATACGGAAAAACAAATAAAAAACTGCTGCAAGATCAAGTCCTTACAAGATTTCAAATTGGGAACTCTTTATTTAATCAGTTTAAGCTAGTAAACATGCTTTTATCAGAAACTTCCAATCTTTCATCCCCGCTCAAAACTAGAGGGCGATTAAGCTCCAAGTAGATAAAAAGTTGCTACAATTCTACACCTAGTTTGTCAGAAAATTCTCCCGTGTCCATGAACATACGCAGACCTAATCCAATTAAAATTTCTTGGATTATGCACAATTCCCAGTAAGTGATTCATGAGAAATTAAACAAATGGAAATTTCACACTCACGTTTACCGCGATGGCGTTGCTCTTGGCTGCGATAAGAGAGAGAGAGAGAGTCGAAGATCGACGATCGGAGGCTGAGAGAGTAGCGTTCGTTCGTTCGTTGTTTGTTGGGCGTGAGAGAATAAAAGGCCCTGCAATACCCCACCACTTTGTTTAAATAGTAAAACAATAAGGCACCGGAAAAAGAAAAAAGAAAAATAAAAAGAAATAGTGGGCCAACTGAACTGGGTTAAGATTTGATAATGGGCCTAGCATGCATTTACAACTTTAGTAGCCCAAATATGGGTGTTCGAAATTCAATCTAATTTGTCTGAATAATAAACTAATTTAATTTAAATTTAAATTTTTTTTTAGCAATAAAATTTAATTCATTTTAATGAACTCTTATCCTAAAATAACAAGCTTAAAAGTATATGTTTCTTCTGTACACACACATGCCACTACCATATAGTTTTATGTTAAATATCATCCCCAATTTATTTATTTATTTATAAATGATATAAGTTAGAAAGGAATCGAACACAAGATTTTTTGTCTAATGATAACTACTCTTAATTACTTGAGCTACAATCCTCTTATCTTCTTATTTTTTTATACGTGCCTTTACATGCAACTAATGTTTTTCCCCTTTATGTGAGGGTTTCTATTTTTGGTATAGAGGATAAATTCTCCCCTCCTACTTTGCACCCTCCAGCAACTTCGAAGTTGTGTACACCTAAGAAACACAAGGCAAACCTTCATCACACTAACAGACTTCACAACTCGTGCAACGATTAATCTAAGGCAGATATCGGCTAATGTTACAATTCATCCTTCAGTCGTCCAACCAATCAAACTTCTTTGTTTTTTGGTGAAAATCCAACCAAACCAACTTCATTAACAACTATGACATTTTTGTGGAGTGAGTGGGACTCGAACCTTTCTCTAGCCTTTTTTGCAGCACCCCCAAAGTCGAACACAGAGAGCACCACATCATCCAGGACTGCAAATCCAAAACCAACCCATGGGTGCTTTTTATATATATTTTTTGGGTTTTATTACCGCTACTAAAAGTGTAGAGTCATAAAAGCAATGGCTCGTCTTGGACACACAAACAATATTGTATTTTGGAAACTCGAATGTATCGTCCTAATCTAGCAAGCTAAGCTTGGACCAACCCAAAGACTGAAGAGAGAGAGAAAGCGACAGATTTATGGTTCACGAACACGTGTGCCCAGATTGACTCCGGTCCAATCCACAAGCACTAATATATGTGTTACTCCTCATTTACCTTTCACGTCCGTTTACTTGTTAGTGAGAGAAAGCAAGGCAAGACAAACCAAACACAACACAGAGAGCCTCAAAGGTCCAAACTTTGATCGCCGAACACCTCTAAGATTCCGGCGATTCCTCACCGGAAGCTTCATATTCCAGCCAAATGGTCGCCAAGAGCTCGCCGGACTGGCTCCCAGCCGGCTGGGCCGTCCAATTTAGAGTGCAGAAGACTGGTCGCAAAATTGAGGTAACATTTTCTTCTCTTTCGTGCTTCTGCCTTCTAGGGTTTCGTTTACTAGCACTCAGTCTTGGTTTTGGGTTATTTGGTTATTCAATTGGTTCAGTTATGTTAGCTCGTGGTTGTTGTTGAGTAACTGACTGCTGACTGAGCCACCATGATGGGAGTGCTTGTGGTTTTTGTTGTGTTAATTTGGCCCATGGTGCTCTGATTAGCTTCATGCAAGTCTTATATTCTAGTTGCATGTTTGATTCACTTGCCCTTGATGATGCTGGTGATATGTGAGTGTTTCTGTGTGTGTGTGAAATGTGGGCTTGGTTGAGGAAAGGGGTTGCGTGCTGGTGTTGTTGCATGATTGCATTGGTTTGTAGTTAATAAATTTTGCATTTTGAGGAGTTTCAGAAGGTTTCTGTTTTGGAATAAGTGAAATTGACTTAAAATGCATTCTGTTTTAGGAGTTTATTGGCTTCACGACAATAATCTAGTTCGTAAAGGAAGCTTTTGTTGTATTGGTGATTTTGGAATCTGTATGTCTTTCTCTCTGCATAAGTTTAATAATAAGATTTAGACAGTAGGTGGTGCATGAGGTGTTATTGACTTATTGTTGCACATAAATGACAGTATAGAGTTGGTTTAGATGTGAGCATGAGTTGTGACTCACTAAACTCACTTTTATGATTTCCTCTGTTGATGTGTGACATAATTCTTGAACTGGAAGCAGGTGCAAAATGACCGTTCTGAGAGAAATGTTGGAATCTGAACCAAAATGGAAATCTTATCACTATGTTCGAGGAACAATTTTTAACCTTTTCCTTTTCCTTTCCAGTGACCTAATTGAGCAATACAGTTAGAAAAGTATGTCAACTTGGAAACAGAATAAATAATTACTGTCGATGTGTATTAAAACAGGAAATATATTAGTGAACATAGTTCAGAATCAAAATATCCTGTCATGGTGCTATCACTAAGCTCATAATCACGTTCGCATTTGCAGTTTTATACCAATTTGGAAACTGGGAAAAACTTCTTTTCTAAGGAAGATGTTATGCGCCATGTCAAAATGGCAAGCACCAACGGTGGAAATCCTCAGCCAACTACTCTGCACAACCAACACCACTCAGAAAAAATTCCTTCTCAAGTGAGTCTTTAATTTTTGGGCTTTGTCGAAACCATTTTCAAGATTCTTCGATATATTGGGTCTTGTTTGTGATCGACAGCTTGTAGTGAACACAACGGAATATCCTGAATGGTTACCCAAGGGTTGGAAAGTGGAGGTGAGAACGCGAAAGACTGGTGTGCATGTTGGAAAAGAATACAAGGTATCTTTTGTGTGCTTTTTGAATAATAGTTTTGGTATATTTCTGTTGTCATCTTTTGAATTTATACTCGGCACCTTTTTTTCACTTTTGTTATAAATTCATCACTAGTGGTTGCCTCCTTTTTAATTTTACAAGGAACTCCCTTGGTTGTTAATAATTGGGATTTAGCTCGTATTCCGAAATGCATGGTTGGCCTGGCACCTTGACATGCATCTGCGATATGTCATCGCGCAATATTTACGACTGTATTAATTACTCATTGAAATTTAATTGCAAAATATATATCAAATATGTACCGTCCTAAATTTTCCCATAGAGTATGCTGGCATGGTGGGCCGTATAACAAGCTATAGTTTCTTTAATCAATATATGGGTAACATTATATTTGATATAATGATAAACTTTTACTTTAACCAAGTAGTGATTTATTCCTTTCATGGCATAGGTTAGAAATGAGTTTAAAAAGACAGTTTAAGTGGTTTTGAAGGGATTCTAGGCGTTTAACCCTTTTGAAATTGATTTTTCATCTAAGATTTATTACTGAACTTGGTCAGGTATGGTGCGACTCTTGTCTTTAGTGGGAACAGTTCATTAAATCCTTAGCCAAGATTTTAGTACGATAGAATTCTAGCAATTGTTTGTTTCTTAGCCATGTCTGGCATAATTATTCCAACAATAAACTGTAGTATCTTCTTTCTTCAACCATAACTGTAACTACTTTTTGGTCTTTCATATCAAGAAGGAAATGAACGGGTCTATCTGATGTTACAGAATTACTCCTTTAACTTTACTGTTGATGTTGATAATGGATTGTGAAGAAACTTTCAGGGATCTTTCTCAGTATGTGTTGACTCCAGCAATACACATTTCTCTTTATTTCTTATATAATTGTATTCCTATTGCAGTGTTACATTGATCCCTCAACAGAAAGTAGTTTCTATTCCAAGCCAGAGGTGTTTCGGTATCTCAAAACTGTAAAGCGCAAGAGCTGCAAGTCCAGAAATCTCAAAACTGTAAACCACAAGAGATGCATGATAAAAAAGAAGACTGTTGCGCCCTTGCAGAGTGCAAACAAAGTTTGTTCCCTTTGATATTCTCATGCTTTAATTCCTTTTTGTTAATTGTTTGGATGGGGACAAGGATACTAAAAATGCTTCAAAACAAAATCTTCAGCCGTAGGTGCATCAAAATGTTTTACTATGCGATTCATGCTTTAAAATATTTTCTCATTTAGAGAAATGTTGCAATTCATGAACTGAAATCTTGAATCCAGAAGAAATCATAATCTAACTACAATCTAGTAGAGAACACTTAGCACCTTTTGTGATGTAATGTTCTAAAGGATCAAAGTTTACCATTTTCGACTTTTTTCCTATTATCATGTTTCATTTCTTAACTTGTCTAATCAGGCCTGATGCTAATTGTTAATGCATAATTTAGGTTGATGTTGAGAAGCATGATGTGGAGGATTTACCATCAGGGTGGACAAAAGAGATCAAAGTTAAAAGGGTTGCAAATCGACTTAGAAGAGACCCGGTATAAAATCAGTTTCTCCGATAATTATTCCAGTTTATGTCAGTTCTGCTCCCAACCCCAGGCTCTCTATCTCTCTCCACACATGCACATGTGTATGCGTGCCTTCCATGCACAGCCCTGCTTTAGGAATAATTCCAACTAATTGTCGTTTATTCCAATAAGTTCTGTACTTAAAGATTTTATGTTGATTTTTAGTGGCTCCCACCTTTTTACAGTATTACACAGATCCAGTCAGTGGATATGTATTCCGCTCCAAAAATGCTGTTATGCATTATTTAGAGACTGGAGAGATAAGCAGACATGCTTTTAAACCCAAGAATAAGTGCACCAATGAGCTGACGTTGATTAATGATGAAAGTCACAAAATTACAGTAAGTGCAAGTTCATGCTTCTTATTTTCGTCATCAATGCTCACTTGGGTTCGTATATGATTGTTTGCTAGTACAATTACCAACAATTTTTCTTTAATGGTTTTCTTGATGATTTCAGTTTGGAAATCGTACCATGTAAAAATTCAGAATAAGTATTGGCGTATCCCTTAAAATTTTTAGTATTTTAACCCATGGTTACTTGAATGACAATTGACTATGCCACATAAGCTGTGGTGTATAAACTGGCATGGGAAAAACGTAATGAAGTTTCCAGTGATATTCTTTATTTCACTCTATTTTGAAACACTTTGAAAACTTGACTGAAATATGTTCCAAACTAAAGCAGAGAGGACTTGGTGAAATTTGGGCTAACTAATGTGTTCTATGTATTGCTCTGATACTTTTTAGTTGCATAGCGTAGTGGTGCTGAATTCATAAACAAATTGCATCTGTCAGTCGCAGAAAGAATTACAACTCTTGCACTTATGTAGCAGTGACAAGTTTCTTGCATTGTGGGGTTTCCATTTTGAATGTTGTTATTGTTTTTCTTGATTTTTCTCTTCAATGTTTTTTCTGTTGAAACATTCTTCGATGTTCTTAGTGCTCCCCATTTTAGCTAATGGTAGAATTTCCCCATCCGTAAATAAGGCTGATGGATTACCTTTCACCCTTTTTATTTCCTCTTCTGTTTCCCATCTCTAAAAGGGTTAAAAGGTATTCAGTAATTTCTCTTTAATGAATACAAATATGAAACCAAGGAACTTCAAGTCAAAATTGATACCCCATTATAAGTTTATAACTATGACCGGATGGATGGCAGTATTCTTAGCAGCCAATTTTTATGATTTTATCCGTTTTTTATTATATATGTGAACTTGGTATTTAAAGGATGAATTCATTATTCTGATCATTCTTCGTATGCTGTTATTTTAGCCATCATCTGCAACCAAAAGGCAAAAATTTAAGCACCCTGTCACCAGGCAACAGCATTTTGAAGGTGAGAGATCAATAGATGACATCATGATGAATGATTCTCTAACTTGAGGACGTATATTGGATTTGGTCCAAGTTATAAAGGGAAATGAAATCCCGTGGTATCTAACTGCATTGTTCCCATTGTTGAACTTCCACTGCAGATAAAGGTAGTTCTGAAATGAGCGGCTTAGAACTACCAGAAACTGAAAGCTCCAACTTGCAAGACAAGAGGGTGCCCACTGAAAGTGGAGTTGCTGTTGCTTTGACAGCTGATGTTGTCCAGGAGAAGCATTTACCAGAGGATATAGTTGAAGAATGTCCCAAAACTATGGAAGATTGTCCTCCAATCAGGTCATCACTGCCAAAACCTGAAGTTGCTGACATACATGAAGGCAAAAGGTCATTGCTCAAAGTTGAACGTTCTGCGACAGATCCAGGGAAAATAATTTTGGCTGGAAATGAGCCTGTTTTGACTCCTGCTGCTGACAACCTGAATGAGAATAATTCATGTAAGATTGTGATGGAAAAAGGCAATGTCAGAATAACCCAAACAGGCTCGAGGAAATCAAAAAGCAAGGAAAAGCTGAACTTGCCTCGCCGGTCTTCAAAACGACTTGCTGGGCTTGAACCAGAGCAGGTAGCTAACTCGGTTTCCAGTGAACAAGCTCTTCAAGTTGTAAGAAAGTGTAGTAAAAGTGATGGCAGTCAAGATGCAGTTTTGGCTTCAGATGCACATCAGCAGGTTGGGGCTGCATCAGAAGTAGTGGTTGCACATCATACTTTAACTGACATAAAATCTACATCACATGAGGAGGCATTGAACAAGGGCAGGATGCCACTTGATGACCAAATGGTTCCTAAAGTGCAACAACAAAAGCTGGAAAGTGAGAGAATGGATTCTGAGAAGCCAGAACCAGAGTTCTCCCTTCTGTTCGGCTCAGACCCATGCCTAGAATTTGCATTCAAAACGCTTACGGGGGAATTGCCAATAGCTGATACTGTGGACAATGAGCCTATTCTGAAACCTGCAGCTGATGTGCTGCAGAAAGAGAACTCACTTGAAAGTGAGATGGAAAGGAGCTGCAACAGAAATACAAGGGTTAACAAATCCAAGAAAAATAAAGAACTTAAGTTGCCTCATCGATCTTCAAAACGGCTTGCTGGGGTTGAACCTGAGCTGCTGCCCAATTATATGTCCAGTGAACGAGCTCTTCGAAATGCGACTGGAAGGTCCAGTAAAAGTAAAGACATCCAAGCTGTCAATTCAGTAGATGAAGCATCTCAGCTGCCTGAAGCTGGGCCAGAGACGAAATTTGCAAATTATCCTTGTACTACTACTATAGACACTTCAATACCAGAGCAGTCATCAAACAAGAGCGAGAATTTTCTTGAAGACCAAGCTATTCCTCAAGAGAAACCACAAAAGTTTGAAACTGAGAAGGCAGCTATTGAGAATCCAGAGGCACAATTCTCTTTCCCTTTCATGGATTCTTGGTCTGACCCATGCCTAGATTTTGCATTCAAGACTCTTACAGGTGCAATACCAATAGAGGATGATTTGTTTCAGGGTTACTTCCAAGAAAAAATCGAAACCTCTCACAACCACAGAGATAGCTTGGCACTACCAGATTTTGGATCACCCAGCTTTTTTCAAAGTGATATATTACCTCAGTTTGACGCACCAGAACAATCTATTTCAGGCCAACAGTTACCAATGAATTATTCGTTCCTGCCTTCAGGAAATGTGGGCATGTCAAATTGCAATGGGGTTGCTTCAAGCCAACAGTTATCCATGAATCCTTCATTCCTGCCTTCAGGGAATGTGAGCATGTCAAATTGCAACGGGGTTGCTTCAAGCCAACAGTTATCCATGAATCCTTCATTCCTGCCTTCAGGGAATGTGAGCATGTCAAATAGCAAAGGGGTTGCTTCAAGCAATCAGTTATCCATGAATCCTTCATTCCTGCCTGCAGGAAATGTGAGCTTGTCAAATTGCAGTGGGGCCGGTTCAGGCCAACAGTTATCGATGAATTCTCCATTCCTACCTGCAGGAAATGTGAGCTTATCGAATTGCGGCGGGGTTGATTCACAGAAGCCTTGCTTAGGAGACAGTAAGGATTATCGTGGAAAGGTAAAGTCCTAGAAGAAAGGTAATTCCTATCTGTAATGGTACACAGGTTTCAGCAAGTTATACATTTTGAAACCTTGTAGCTGCATGTCTCCTGTGTTGTAGCAAAGAATTCCATCTGAATATAACATTTATTTTGCAAGTGGATATTTACCTTTACCTTTTTTCCGTATGTATTGACTGGCCAGGAGAAATATTTAAACTCTCAAGGGAGTCTTTGCAAGTCAAAACTGTTGTAGTTCTTACCGCAGATAAAATGCATCATAGTGCTGTTAATGAAAATTTTCAGTTGAGTTTCTGATCATTTAAATGAATTTAAGCACCCCATTTTGTGCTTATCAGAAAGAAAATTATTGGTAAAAAAACAAATGAAAGTTTATTATCACAAAGTATTAGCAATGGAACACTGATATCTCCAAGTTGGTATTATTCTTCAAGAAGAACAAAAGGAAAAAAGAAAGAAAGAAAAAAAAAATCATATATGGGACTGGTATCGAGCAAAACTATTATTCTTCAGACAATCAGTCGCATGTGGACTCTTTCCTTTCACCATTTCACTCGTCTTCTTCTTCTTCTTCTTCATCACAGTCGCGATCTCCACTGCGATCTCCACTGCCATAGTCGCGATCTCCACTGCCAGGCTGTGAAAAACAGACAATACATATATTATATTTGAAAAAAAATATATATATTCGGAAAAAAAGGCATGGTTAATTACTACTTTAAAATATTATCGTAAATTTTGAAGCAGATTAAAGCAGCTTTTTACATGGTACAATTGCCTTGCATGATTATGATAATTTATTTTCGTTAATAATGCCCCATTTCTGGTAAGTAAACATGTCCTTATAGTCTTAATTTCGTTATACATGTATATAATTCAGGAGGGCTAACCGTATTAACTTACCAATATGTTAAATTAATTCTATTTATGCATATTAACTTATTAACCGATTAACGATTAACTATATATATCAATTAAGTGGACGAGAAAGAAAAAATACCTCAGGATTGAAAAAGAGGCCAATGGTAATTTCTCCTCTGACTTTGTCGTTCCTCATTACCTCGTATGGCGTTGGTGGCATTCTTCCTTCGCACCCGCTGTCGGTAACTATTGCATCCAGTGGAATTCTGCATGAACATTGTTAGTAATTTTTTTCAAGGAAACTAATAAGAGTGAAAAAAAAAAATTAATACCCACAAAGAAAATCTCTAAGATTTCACAGTAAAAATAATTTAAATACACAAAAAACATGTAGGAAATTGAAGAGAAATCCTATGCTATTATATTATATATAAGCACATGTATAAAAACCTTCATGTGCTACTAAGTGATTCTCTTAATGAGGGCTAATTCTTATTTATTTTAGTATAAAAAATTAATTCACAAGATTATGTTAGCATAGAAAGCTTGAATCTTTTTTTTTCTTCATAAGAGGGAGCTACAAGTGCTTACGTTAATTCACCCACATCATCATCAGTGCTACCAGAGTCTTCGTCATATAACTTCAATCTGAGTTCATCTTCAGCACCAGCAATTGTAAATAGAAAAGTTTCATTCCAATCTGGTTCAGATCCTTGACCTGCACAAACACATTTTTTTCTTAATATTAATTTCACCTGGTATGTAATACAAGTGAATTAATGATTCATCATAATATTCTTTTTTTTTTAAATTCAAAATCATTTTGTTCTCGTGTTCCCGTAAAATATATGTATATGTTATATACAATCCCGTTCTAACGAGGGATTCCTTTTCACTATTCTCGAAGAGTTTTTATCAGTAGGAGAAAAACCATCAATGTCATCCGATTGCTTAAACCATTTATCTTTTTAATAAGAACTCATTCAATGATAATCTTAACAAAAAAAGTCAACAAAATAAGAACTCTTTCTTTTTTTGTCATCTAATTATAACACAATAAGTAGCAAACAATGAAATGATCATGATGATATAATCAAATGATCGGACTTACGGCTGCATTAATTTGCATGTATGATTCCTAAATGAGGATTAAAAGCTAAATGATTCAGATCATTGAACCACACTGTGGATTCGATCCCTTCATACTCTTCATCAAAGAATTGTAGGCTCTTTTTTTCTTTTTAAAACTAATTAAAATAAAGAGAGCTATTTAATGTCATTAAACTCAACATCATACTAAAAATTCAGGGAGACTAGAAACCCGACCGTTTGCCACCTTGCTCTTTTTCTCCTGATCTTTGTAGGTGAATACGACATAAGGATCCATCATACCTACACGTATTCATATTAAATGTTGTCAGAAACATATACTAATTCATAAGATCATCGCAAACCGATCATCATGCATGAAGAAGCCATGAACTGCATGCATGCTTAATTACCCATTGAATCCATGTTTTTAAGATCCTTAGCACCAACAAGTGTAACTTCAAGGGTTCCTCGAGGAGCCATTTTCAGAAAGGAAGGTACAAATTAATCCCAAGAGGGAAAAAGATGAGTGTGATGTCTTGATGAATATGAGCAAGAAGGTTTTGTGAGTGTAATCAAGTTATGACCCTTTTTTTCTTGGACCTATCTCTTTAATGAATTATATAACTGGAAATAACGACGGATGAGGGCTGAAGAACCCGAAATACACACAGGATTATTGGACAAAGAGCATGCGTTCATTTGTAGCCGTGAAAGCCAAGTCAAAGTGAGCCTCTGGAGCTAGTCCTGAGGGGATGGTCGAAAAAAAAGGTTTGGCTAGTAGATGTAACAAAAAACAGAAGAAGTCGAAATTCATGGATATATGACAAGGAACTGCATACACACTGTGCGTCAATCGGATCTAGGCCATAGGTGCATGCTTAATTACGTGGAGATTTAGAGCAAATCATGGATGGGTGAAGCTATGAGAATATAGGGTGTTAAGAAGAAATCAATAATTTCTTTTGAGCTAGTTGAATGTATTCAGACATCACATGATTCACATTGGTTAAAAGATAGAACCCTCGATCCTGCAAACTTGGTTCACATTAATTCCACGTACCACAAATCCAACATGATCCTATAATACATTGGTGGCAAATATATCTGTGGCATGTCGATGTGTTACATGTTAGGAATTTATTCAAATTATATCACGTGACATGTACAATCATTGAAACAAAATTCAACATATATATAATGTAGTTATAATTTGAGTGTGAATTCGTAATACAATATCGACATGTCATGTAATTTCCGAATCAAAATCGACTCTGAGTCCCCGATGAAGCAACTGTATTAGGCACTTAAATTGTTCAGTCCCAAATTAATGTTACCTCATTTATTATATATGTTAATTTTGGCTAAATCAATTATTAAGTTTTTTTTTTATTAACACACAAAATAAAAACCGAACAATATATCAAACCCATGACCCAAATACACAAAAATAAATATATTTATTTATTTATTGGAGTAATATTTAAGTGATGATTTTTTTATGTTTACATTATGTTTAAGAAACCTAGACTAATCCAACCCATTTCCCTGACCGACCTTCCTCATCATTTAAGCTAAACTTCGAGACCTTAATATTTAAGTGAGGTTTTGATGCAATTATCAAGTTTCCATTTGGATTGCATTTTATTTGGTGCTTTCCTTCTCTATTTTGGATTGCATCAATTATGTTTGTGAGTAAAAAAATTATATGAATCTGCAGTGCATATAGGGTTAGAGTACACCTAGGCCCCATCAATATATATTTTAATGGTTTAAGGTCTCTAAGCTAAGCCTAAGGATATATCATACGATCCTCCTAGAGCTAGAATAATTTTGGAGCCACGTGAGAATATTTTATGCCTGATTCGTTGACGATTTTTTTAAATCTTATTTTTATGTTTCATTATTTATATATTTCATTAAAATCCCATCAACCAATGCAATTGACATTGAATTCTATTTTAGGTCAATCTCATATACATTGAATTGTAAAAAATGGTCAACATTTTTTTACAAACTAGCCGTACGTTTTGAACTGATAAAACCCGAATAAGTACAAGTTATTTTGATGCGTTTGGCTTAATTGGACCAATCTCTGTCTGTCGATATCTTTCTTCTATGTGTCTTTGTGTCTTTTTCTTTCTTCGGGTCAGGCTGGCTATTTGACTCAGCTGGCGCCAAATGAAATAGCAATGCTCAACCTCACAAGAGCCAAAAGGAACTTCTCAAAAATGGAATATATACTGTCTTTTTTTAAATGGGAAATCACATATTATTAGCAATGGAACCCTTAAATCTCCTAAGCCAAGAGTGTACACTTGTATTTAAAGTACATAGAACTCCTAGCAACTCGACTCGTTCCATCAACCATAGCTGCTGGAGGACTCCTTCCATCCGCCTACAAAGTCCAAGTCCCGATCATTGTGTACCTAAGAACGAGGCACAATTTATTATTATGTTATAGAATGTAAAGTCTCACCTCGGAAATTCCAAATCTTTATAACATTTTGTAGTACCACTCCGTCCATTATCAATCGGGTTTAAATGTGCCGGCGGTAAATATAACAATGAAAGTAATTAATGGAAAAGAAAAAAGAAAAATTACCGCAGGAGTGAAGGTGAGGCCAAGTTTAATCTCCCCATGGTACTTTTTGTTCCTTAGGACATTGTACTTCATTGGTGGTAGCTTCTTTTCCACAAAGAGAGTTTTCAGTGGAATACTGCAAATGATGATCAAACCAGAAAATAGTTTTGTCAAAATATATTTATATATGAGACAAATTAACAAAACTTGTTAATTGACTGGATAATATTTTGCAGATTGGGGCTTCAACTTACGTTAATTCTCCCACAAAGTCATCCTTGCTCCCAGTGTCCTTGTCCATTATCATCACATGGAGTTCATTGACATCATCGGAGACGCCGAACACAAAGCTCTCATTCCATTCTGGATTGGACCCCATTGCTGCACAAACATTAAATTATATATTTTCAATATTAATTTGGGTTCTTATGTAAATTCGCCTAAACCCTATTTTACAATATAACACTTTTTTTATAGTCAGATATTAAGAATATAGGCGAACTAGAAAACTGATACCTGTTGCCACCGTGCTCTTTTTCTGCTGTTTTTTACAGGTGATGACGACATAAGGGTCCATTTTACCTATATGCATTTTAATATCAAACAAATGAAATTTCATTATATTCTTTCTTTCCTCCCCTCCAAAAAAATTATATACATATATATATTTCATGGTATAGCTTCACAAAGTAATGTAAATCAAATGGTTTCAGCAAAAGGGTCCAAAGAATAATAAAAAATTTGAACTTGTAAGATTATAGGATGTTCTCATAATACGTAATGATATTGTCACATATAATAATTTCTCACGAAGAAGAATATTTGATGCATCAAAATTAGTAAACCCAAGAGACAGTCTGATCGAAAACTAATGATCAGCTAGCATGAAAATATACACAGCCAACATGGGAAAAAAATTGAGAGCGAGGGAGAAATTTACCAAAAACCTCTGTGTTTTTAAGACCCTTGGCATTGACAAGGTTAACTTCAAGAGTTCCGCGAGGCATTTTGTCTATGAAAGGTAGAGATCCCAAGAGACAAACAACTGAAGGTATAAAATGTCCAGAGAGAAGCAAGCGCTCCCGAGGGAGAGAGACCAAGAAGGATTTGAGTTACTTATGGATCTCTTTCCTTCTGGCGCGCTATAATATGCCAGAGATTAATGGTTATATATCTTCTTCAACTATGGTTTCGGGCAAAGCAAGGAAATTAGGTACGAAAACCAGGTCAAAGTGCATGGCTCGTGGATAACCAGGCCTTGTTTACCGGGGTAAGCAGGATGTCACACTTAAATTAGTATGTCTTGATTTCATTCATCTTTAAAAAAAGGCCGCCTTTTCATTGATTATTGAAGTGGAATTATTTGCTCACTTGAGGGTGATGGTCCACTTGTTTGCGACCTTTTTGTGCAAACAAGTCTAACATAACGTGCTAGTGAGCTTTTTGTGCAAAAGAGAGAGAGAACATTCCCCCTGATTCAAACTAACAAAGAAAAAGTCCAAAAAATGCCAAGTACCGAGCTTGTTGAGAGTTGAAAACTCAAGTCACTACTAGCTGAATACAGAGGAGAGGAGGTGGCTCAGCAGGGGTTCAATTTCTTTTCTTCTTCTTCTTAGATTTACATAACATTCTCAAGCCCTACATACCACAGTCAGTATATATCTCAATTCTAGAGTGATGAACTAGGTTTTGTTCATTAAAATTTCCCATGTTTGTTTTTTTTCATATTAGAATTTAGGATATCAGCGTAGCTCCTAGGTTTTCATTATCTTGTTTGTTTGTATCAGTTAGTTGAATTACAACTTACAATCACGCACAGGTTTGTTATTTGTAATGCTGGGAATTCGCATACTCATGCTTGGCTTTGGTACTAAAACTCCATCAGGGAAATTGGCAGTTGGCAGGGATGAAACCACACTCTGTTGAGCAAGCCAACCAATTTTGTCAATCAATTGCTTTAAAAAAACCTCCTTCGAATGCAAAAGTAGAGCAGACATTTGGAACACGGATAAACAACCTGCTGATTTGACTTGCTTGCTGGGATAGGAAGACAAAAGTAGAGTCTACATCATTAGCCAAAACAACACAAACCCAATAAGGGGTATTAAATTCCCAACCCAACGAAAAGTTGCCCTTAAAAAAAGGAAAAAGTTTAACTAAAAAATCCCTAAATTATGTCAATTTAAATCCATTTGAAATTAAAACACTAATCAAACGACAGACATTACTGATTTCATTCATGCATTGCATCTTCAGGCTGCCGGACCAAGTTTCAACCTTAAGCAGAAGTACCAATAAGTTTCCTAGAAAGCTCCTCCTCCACATTAACAATCGTAAGCCGAGCACTGGATCCAGATTCATAATGCTTCTTTTCTATCAGCTGAGTTCCATGCACGGTGCACCACCAACAACAAATATTGTATTGTCTCCACCAGCTTCTTCTCACTACATGGATGCAGGTAATGAGAAAACCCTCTCCCTTCTCAAGCATTCCTCTGCCTTCATCATGTAACTGTCCTCCAAAATCCATCTTGATGCCTTGCGAGAATTTTTTATTTTTTATTTGGTCGAAGATGCCTTACGAGAATAGTAATCACAAACAGTCACCCTTTTAAAAAATAAATAAATAAATTCATTTCCACATTAATACGTGCAAGATTTGGAAGAGTAACAAAAAACAAAACAAAAATATTAAAGTTATTAAAAACAGAAACTACAATCCATTTTGTAATTCATTTTGTAACCAAAACTGACCAAACAAAAACTAGCTCAACAAAATTGTAAAGCAACAAAAAGTCAAAAGCCATGATCAAAGTTACTAAAATTAAGTCCAAAGAACATATAGCTTCAAAATCAGATGTACTTCTTCCTAAAATCAAATCATCATTGGGACTTAAAAAATTCAACTTAAACAATAAGAGATTCTTTAGCATGTGGCTTACTAGGAGTTAAACAGGATCTGCATGAACTCATGCCTGCTTTGTGTAGAAGATCTTTAGCATATTTCTTCTGACTTACAAATATATCACTCTCTGCATTATAATCAATCTGTAAACCCAAGAAATAGGTAAGCTTTCCCATGTCTTTCATTTCAAAAACTGCACTGAGTTCATCAACCACTTCTTGAATACAAGATACCCTGGAACCTGTAAGAATTATATCATCCACATATAAAAGAAGAATGACAATATCAGATCCATTATGTTTGACAAACAGACTTGGGTCAGAATGAGAGGATTTGAAACCAATAGCTAGTAAATAACCAGTGAATTTAGCATTCCAAGCCCTTGGAGCTTGCTTAAGACCAAAAAGAGATTCTTTAATTGACACACAAACTCTGGATGTGCAGAATCTTCAAAACCAGGGGGTTGCCTCATGAAAACTTCTTCTTCAAGATCCCAGTGTAAAAATGCATTTTTAACATCTAATTATCTTAAAGACCATTTGTTCATAGCAACAATACTCAGAATTAATCGAACTGTAGTATGCCTAACTACAGGACTAAAAACAAGACTAAAAGTCTCACTAAAATCCAATCCAAGCTCCTGATTAAATCCTTGAGCTACCAGATGAGCCTTATGCTTAGAAACAGTTCCATCTGAGTTCCTTTTAATCTGGTAAACCCACTTACTGCCAACAATATTTTTATGGCATGGTTTTGGAACTAAAATCCAAGTACCTTGCATGTGTAATGCATCAAGTTCTTCCTGCATAGCTTTTATCCACACTGGAAATTGGGAAGCTAACTTATAAGTTGTAGGCTCAGTTTCATCAGGCAGTGAAAGAATGGAGGTATAATAGCATTGATAATCAGAAAAAGGCTTTCTACAAACAATATACCATCCTTGGACCTTGTAGTCATAGTATGTGTATTAACAGAACCACTAGGAACTGAAACAGCATCAATTTGAGAACTAGCTGGTAGAAGCACTTGTAACTGATCATCCCTTAGCACGGTAATTGACACAGAATCAAGAGGTACCTTGTCACCAATAGAATCATAGCTAGAAGAAGCACTAGAAATTGAATCACTATCAGAAACTTGGTGAGGTAAAATTACATCCTGAGATACAGCAGGTTGTAAACCAGGCTGTGATAAACTCATACTATGCGCTGGAGCTGATGAAGACAAAGGAATAGGAATAGAAACCAATACTGGAGTTGTCTTTGAATTTCCATGAGACGAACCCGAAACAGATGAAGACATTTTATTTGCAAAAGGAAAAACTATCTCATCATGCAAAACATGTCTTGAAACAACAAATTTATCAGTAAGCAGATTAAAACACAAAACTCCCTCATAAGCTTGTGCATAACCCATGAACACACATTGAGTGGTCCTTGGTTGAAGCTTGTGCACATTATAACATCTCACGTAAGGATAAACAGCAGTGACAAAAACTCTCAGATTCTGAACATTAGGAGCATGGCCAAACAACTTAAGGAATGGAGATTGATGATTCAAAACCTCACTTGGCATTCTACTTATTAGATAAACAGCATGAGAAACATAATGAACCCAAAACTTTGTAGGAAGTGAAGCAGCAGATAAAAGAGTTAAGGCTGTGTCAATAACATGACGATTCTTTCTTTCAGCCAACCCATTCTGCTGAGGATTGTGAGGGCAAGGCAAGTGATGACTAACGCCTTTAGAATCAACAATGTGCTAGTAAACTCACCCCCTCCATCAGTTTGAAATATCTTAACTTTAGCATCATACTGATTTGTGAGCATAGCATAAAACTTCATGAAAACTCCAAAAACATCTGACTTACTAAAAATGGGATATAGCCACATAAAAAAGTACATTCGTCAACAAAATTGAAATAATATCTGTAGCCATCAATGGATTTTACAGCAGAGGGACCCCATACATCACTATGGATACATTGAAATGGCATGGTATCTCTAGAATGACTAGTAGGAAAAGACAACCTATGCTACTATGGATACATTGAAATGGCATGGTATCTCTAGAATGACTAGTAGGAAAAGACAACCTATGCTGCCTTGTAAACATGCTGAACAAATGGTTGAAGGAAGATCATCAGAAACAGAAATAGCAGAAGCTTGCAACATTTTCTTTATAACCTCATTAGTGGTATATTGAGTTAACTTAGACTCATTTTCATTGCCATATCAATTTGTGTACGTCTCTCATGGAGAACTTCTCTCAGACTGACTTCGACTTGGTGATGAAGGTGTAGCACAACATTTGCAGCAAGAACCTTGTGGTGAAGGGGTGCAGCATACACAAGCAGGACATCTAGTTTTGCATCTGAAAAAAAATTACATAAAACATTATTCGCCAAAACAACCTGCTGATTTGACTTGCTTGCTGGGATAGGAAGACAAAAATAGAGTCTACATCATTAGCCAAAACAACACAAACCCAATAAGGGGTATTAAATTCCCAACCCAACGAAAAGTTGCCCTTAAAAAAAGGAAAAAGTTTACCTAAAAAATCCCTAAATTATGTCAATTTAAATCCATTTGAAATTAAAACACTAATCAAACGACAGACATTACTGATTTCATTCATGCATTGCATCTTCAGCCTGCCGGACCAAGTTTCAACCTTAGGCAGAAGTACCAATAAGTTTCCTAGAAAGCTCCTCCTCCACATTAACAATCGTAAGCCGAGCACTGGATCCAGATTCATAATGCTTCTTTTCTATCAGCTGAGTTCCATGCACGGTGCACCACCAACAACAAATATTGTATTGTCTCCACCAGCTTCTTCTCACTACATGGATGCAGGTAATGAGAAAACCCTCTCCCTTCTCAAGCATTCCTCTGCCTTCATCATGTAACTGTCCTCCAAAATCCTTCTTGATGCCTTACGAGAATTTTTTATTTTTTATTTGGTCGAAGATGCCATACGAGAATAGTAATCACAAACAGTCACCCTTTAAAAAAATAAATAAATCAATTCATTTCCACATTAATACGTGCAAGATTTGGAAGAGTAACAAAAAACAAAACAAAAATATTAAAGTTATTAAAAACAGAAACTACAGTCCATTTTGTAATTCATTTTGTAACCAAAACTGACCAAACAAAAACTAGCTCAACAAAATTGTAAAGCAACAAAAAGCCAAAAGCCATGATCAAAGTTACTAAAATTAAGTCCAAAGAACATATAGCTTCAAAATCAGACGTACTTCTTCCTAAAATCAAATCATCATCGGGACTTAAAAAATTCAATTTAAACAATCAGAAACTGCACTGCAATTTCTGATCAATTTGCAACCATACTAAACAAGTCAAAAAGACATATCCATTGATGGCACAATTGTACAATTTTCTTTAACTTCAAAAATCATACTAATATCCAATAATAAAACAATCTAGTCAATTATAATTAAATAAAAACTGCAATACAGTGTGTTAGGAAACTCACCCACAAAAAACATGCCTGGTCTTTCATATTTTGAATTCAAAGATGCACAAAAAGCATCAAATTAGAAAAGCGATCTGTCTTGACCTTTCTGTCTATATTTGTGTTGGTCCTTAATGTGTAATAACGAGATTGGTTTGCCATTATAATATACTTTCAATATTCCTGGGCCAATTAAAAACCCAACACAGCAGTCAAATCTCAAATGGCCACTGATGAATACCCCGATCGGGAAAAACAAAAAACAAAAAGGAGAAGAAGAAGAAGAAAAAGAAAAAGCAGACATTGAGTATGAGTTTTCAATTTCTCTAAACAAGGAGTGGGTCTTTGCGGTATATTCACTCAGGCTGCTAAGCTTTTTCTAGCCCAAGAGTCCAAGGCTACATATGCAATCACCGCCTTCATTAGCTAAATTACCATTCCACATGATTTTATTAGCTAAGTTGGCGGGGATCGTTAGTCATCCCCAACAAGGTCATAGCAGGTGCAGTGTAATTAAGGCTTTGAAATGCTTTGATTTTTATATTACACACACCCTTATACTAGTGCGAGAGACTTGATAAAAAAACAAAGTTAATAAACCATCCATGTGATATTATGGCCCAGATTCCTCTATTGAGCTCAAATTCTTCTCTTTCTAACATGTACCAAATTTGTTGTTGGAGGCAAGAATGGGAGGTCCCCAAATTAAAGAATGACCACCAAATGTACACTCTTATCATTAAGGGCGAGTGCGAAAATGTCATTCCCCAAATTCTTATATTTTTCTTTTCGAACAATAGAGTTTGAACATACTCCTATTGTCATGCTATCTATCTCATGTCACTTGAATTAAGACTCGCGAGTGAACCATTTATAATAGTACCTTGGATGAGTACATTAATATTATTAATATTGTGTTACACAATGCATGTACACTGTACATGCTGTGACAAAGCCCTCAAGCTTTTAATTATTGCATCACAAACATACAATCGATATTATCAACTAGCTATTGCCAGCAGATTTATGTCTCCTATAGCAGAGCAAAGTGAACACCTACTTCATGGGCAGAACACAACCCTATAGTTAGTCCCAGTAGGGCATGTAAATGTGCTGGTTTGGTCATCCTTGGGGTAACTATAAGCATCCGGGCACCGATCCTTGAAAAATCTAGAGAAGTCTGTAGGGCCACAGCTCCCAGAATTGCAGCAATATTGATCAGTTTTAAACACAGTGCAAGGGTTGTTGCAGCCTCCTTGAGCCTTCAATTCGTTAGGACACTGCCCATTAATATCAGCCGTGCATTGTATCCCCTTAGTGCATCCATTGTCCGTGGGACTAAAGTCCATTGGGACATTGAACCCATCAACCAGAGAAATATCAAAAAAATCTAGGTTGTTAAATTGGTTAAGTGCATATTCTGCTAGGGTGTTTGGGGGTTGGCCATAGCCTTGGCATTGGAGGACACCTCCACAATCACCTGTTTGGCAGCTGCCACGTCCAGCTCCATCGAAGCTGCATCCCGTTCGTGCCCAAATGCGGGCCCCAGTAGTGCCGGAGCTCACATCTAAAGGCCAAGATTCGCCACTGTTAAGCTGCCTTCCACCGCCTGGTGAGGCTGCTGCCCAGACTGTGAAGGCACAGTTGTTTCGGATATCGAAACGCGCTGCATTGGTTGAAGTTGGAAAGTAAAGGGTGATGCATATGATGGAAAAAACTGAGAAGTTTTTGAGTAGGCTCATTTTGGGGCTTATAATTAAGCAGTGACAATATTGCGCAATTGGTTTTTGCTTTGTGGCTGTGTTTTGAATTATGAGGGAGTTCTCAAGTAATTCTTATATATAGAGGAATATGCAGGCAAAGAAGAAGACTTTGCATTCACACGTTGAAATTGGAGGACAGTTTCTTATTTTCCATTCTTTCCAGAAGAACAAGACTCTTTCGCCAAAACCGAAATCGTGGAAGATAAGTACTTTGAGGTTGATGACTCACAAATTGTGATCATGATTCCATTATTATTTTACAAATTAAATCAGTGAGACACCAATTAATTATCTTTTAAGCAGGCGCCGGTTGCTTCTTAAAGCTTCCTAAACTCCCTTGTTTTTAAATTAAGCAGCCCCTTTTTACCAAATAATTGGGTTGTTAAATATTTCTAAATAAGTTTTTTTTTTTTTGGAGCAACTCGATCAGCTGATGGCACTCATATAATAAATCCCTAAATTACATAGTTATTAGGGGGGTTTTTTTTTCTATCTAATTTCCAAACAGGTTAATTGTTGTGTAAATATGTCGTTTTGATTCATAGGTTAACAAGATAATGCACAGTCTTCACCCAGATTTATATTGAACTTTGAGAAACGCCGGTCCAGTTAAATTTAGCAGCAGGCTGGCACAATATATGGGTCAACCCTATAAATTGTTGTGATATATTATATATCATGGGTCGATATCGATGGTCAGTCCATGCTGAAAAAAAGTCCTCCCCTATATTCGCAAGGAGACATGATATTTTGGCATATTCTTCCACCCTCAATTCATGCAATATTTCTACCCTCTATTTGTCGTTGGTCGTTTTTTCTCGGTTTCACCTTTAACTGAAGGGATTTGAGGCCAACATTGTCACTTCATTGTTGGAAAATTAGGGTTTAAATGCTATATTCATAGAAAATAAAGATTCTACGTTTACACAAATAAATATAAAATTTACTTCATCAAAAAACACAAATAATAAGATATAAAGTGAAAGTTAGGATTAGGAAAACCATAATAGGGTCGAACTTCTATTGATGGATGTGTGCTCACAAACAGTGAGGCACACACCCGCATCAAGGGTTCAAAGTCACCCTTGTAAATGTGAATGATTCTTTTGTTTTTTGTTTTTTTTTTCAAAAATGTGAATGATTCATGAAAGCGAAAAATAGACTAACAAGACAATGGGAGTGAAGAAAATTGAGTGGCTCTACAAAGTATTCAACAAACGGAGGGATTTGTACGTAATTATTTAGGATAAACCCTTTTATTATACCCTGAATTTAGACCCAATTTACATTTGAGTACCTCAATTTCAAAAATGGTTCCCGTGGTACTTTAACTTTAGTTTCGTTAGGACAAATGGTCCTGCTGTCAATTTTGTTAAATTTTCAGTTAAATGCAGGGGTAAAATGGTATTTTTGTATCAAAATTGATTAAAATATGAATAAAAAATTAAAATTAAACTCTCTCTCTCTCCCCCTCTATCCCATTTTCTACTCCCCCAAACTTGATTTTTTTTTTGTTGGTTTTTATTTGATTTGATTTTATTGTTATTTTAAAGATATGATTTTTTATTCATTTTTTCGGTTCTAATATAAAAATACCATTTTCCCCCTGCATTTAACGAAAAAAGTTAACAAAATTGAAGGCAGGATCATTTGTCCAAACGCAACTAAAGTTAAAGGAACAAGAGAACCATTTTGGAAATTGAGGTACTCAAATGCAAATGAGGTCAAATTCAGGGACTAATAAAATGATTACAATGGATTACTTAAAGCGATGGTATATTACAATGGATTATCCTGGAAAGCAGTGGCGGAGCCAATGCCATTAACGGACCAGTGTGGTCCAGGCCCCACTCCATTTTTTCCAATTTTATATATATACTATACATAATATATGATATTGTAACATATTAGATTAGTTTTAGGATATTTATTTTAAAATAAACAATATATTAAGCCATGGTGATATTCAGCCATGGTGTACGGGGGTTGATCAGAATCTTGGCATATTTGAGGTGACCTCCACAATCACCTGTTAGGCATTTGCCGCGTCCAGCTTCGCCCCAAATTTGGGCAGGGAAAGTACCCCTGTTCACGTCGGAGGACCAAGTTTGGCCTGGAAGAAGCTTCTTCCCACCGCCAGGTATGGAGGCTGCCCACACGGTGAAGTGGCATTTTTGGACTTCGAAACGTGTTGCATGAATGGTTGCAAAGTAGAGGGTGATGATGATCAATATCAGGGCATGTTTACGTATCAGTAATTGAGAAACTAAGGAATCAAAGAATTTAAGAATCGGAGAACTACTGAATCGGTATGGGAAGAATCATTCCCATTAAGCTGTTTACTAAACATATGGAATTAGCAATGGAATGGGATTGATTCCCATTGTTATTGTTTACTAATTTGCATGAATCAGAATCCAAATTAATTTTAGAATTATGGTAAAGTGATAAGGGTATTTTTGGAAGTTATTAAGAGAAAACAGGAATGGGAATCGTATCGACTACTCCCCCCTAGTTGATTTGATTTCTAGTTTTGAGAGAATGTGATTACGGATTTTGAGGTGGGGCCCACTTATTTTTTCATTCCTGATTGCAAGTAAATGCAGGAGAAGTCAGGAATAGAAATCATTTCATTTCCTTCCATACCCATTACTGATATGTAAACATGCCCTCAATGGGATGGAGAAAATGGATGAGAGGTATTTTCTGATCAGTAGCAGGCTCATTTGGAATTGAATTGTAAGGATGCTATAATGAGGTTAATTGTATAGATCAAAGAACTGTATCACTGAATAAAATGGGCATCCCTTTCTTAGGTCATTTCTTTGTTTCCTAGTCTATGTGCACTGCACATGGAAATGAAAGGGAAATTTCTTCTTTACTTTTTGTTTTTCCACAAAGAAGAAGACTTCGTTTCACTCATTGAAATTGGAAGACAGTTTCTTATTTTCCATTCTTTCCAGAAGACCAAGACTTTTTCGCCAAAACCGAAATCGTAGAAGGTAATTACTTTGAGGTTGATGACTAACTAGGTAATGTCTCATAAATTGTGCCGGTTGCTTCTTAAAGCTTCCTTAACTCCCTCATTTTTAAATTAAGCAGCCTCTTTTTACCAAATACTTGGGTTGCTAAATATTTTTTTTTTTTTTTTTTGGCAGTCAACTGGATAATCAATCCTTAAATTAATCAAATCTAAAGAAAAGGGGATTCAAACTTGGGTGCAAGTAGAGTCTCGATCAATTTGGCCTATATTATTATTACAATAGATAATCATGGCAAGACTTTGCTGCCCAAACAGTGGAAGGTCAATTGCTTCGTCTTAGTGATTATTCCATACCAATATATAAAAGGGATATTTCCTTCCGTTGCACATGATTTAAAAAAAAAGGTCCTCCCCATATTCGCAAGGAGACAAGATATTTTGGCATATTTTTCCACACTCAATTACATCCAATATTTCTACCCTCTATTTGTGCTGGGTCGATTTTTCCCAAGGGATTTGAGGCCAACATTGTCACTTCATTGTTGGAAAAAATAAGGTTTAAATATTATATTCATAGAAAATCAATACATTTACAAAAATAAATATCAAATTTATTGCATAAAAAACACAAATAAAGTGAAAGTTAGGATTAGGAAAACCATAATAAGGTCGAACATTTATGGATGGATGTGTGCTTCATAGACATTAAGTCTCAGGCCTTTGAAATCTCAGGACCAGCTATGTTCCTCATTAATTCAATAAATTATGGGCAAAAGGCAACTCTATAGTTAGTCCCACCTGGGCATGAAAAGAAGGCGGTTTCGTCATCGTGAGGGTAAGAATAAGCATCAGGGCACCGAGCCTTAAAAAACCTGGAGTAGCTGGTAGGGCCGCTACATCTGCCAAAATCATAAGCATTGTTGAAGATGTTTACACCATAATCAACCGAGCATATCCAGTCTCAAAACAACTAGCACCAAGGCAGACACGCCTTCTCTCATGCCGAAGGATGACACTCTTCCGAGGTGCCAAGCACCTGCCGAAACTCCCGACTGCCAAAGCTCACAAACTGCTAAACCTAATTCTCATGACACGTGTCACCACCGCGGCGACTTGCACAAAGTCCCACATCAGAAATCTACACCAACCTCCCACTTTCACTTCCCTATAAAAAGAGAACAGTACCCCAGTAAGAGGGGTAACTACTTTTCTGCCTTTTACTATTACTCTGCAAAAGTTACCCTTCTTAGCTGACTTAAGCATCAGAGAGCCTTCGGCTGGCACCACACCGGTGCCCGGAGCTTGACGACTACTTCCCTTATTTTTGTCTTCTGCAGGCTAGCCTTTATTGAAGGCCCAGACCCTTTCCCTGCTGAAGGCAAATCCCTTTTTCTCTATGTTGACCCTCTCCGAAAAAGAGCATCAACAGTTTGGCGCCGTTTGTGGGAAGCGATACTTGAATCCCATTTTTCTCTACTAGCCCAGCTGGCTCCTTCTCCTATCCGGCCCCGTCGCCTCTTCTTCACTCCACACTCAGCTATGCCTACTGAGGATAGCCAGGGGACTCAGCACCATATCCCCCATGGGGGTACCTCCCAGAGGAGACCTTCAGCAAATGCCAATCTCCAGGCAGAACTGGAGAGCCTCCGCGCCAGTGTCACCAGGATGTCTGAGAAATATGACCATCTTCATGCTAAGAACGTTGAGCTCGAGCATGACTTCCGCACACTGAAGCGTAACTGGGAGATGAATCAGACCCAAGGCTCCCAACGCAGCCCTACCCAGGAACCTGAGCGTACACAGCCAAACCAGCCGGAGCACTCCCACCACAATGTCCCAACCCAGCTTAGGCCCAGCAAGGGTAAAGGCCCCCTCTATCCGGAAATGACCAAGTCGCGGCTTCTCCGCATCTCCCCGCCAAGGAACCGGCCCCATGAACCAACAAAGGTCTACAGGGATTGCAGGGACCGTATCCTGGACCGTCAAACGGAACCCCCTCTTATCTCTGTTAATCTCCAAGACCCAAAGATGAAACACATGGGCCCCCCGCCAAGGCCTACCCAACTACCCCTTGGAGAAGGTATAGGGGACTCGGAGAATTGGGGGCAGGATTACTTAGAAGACTACGAGTCTTATCACACCGAGGCATCCGAAGAATTCTACCCAGCCCATGGCCACCCACACAACAGACCCCCAGCACCTGAGACTCTCCCTCATACCGACCCGGCAATGAGGCTTCTCTTCGAGAAAGTCCGGCGCCTGGAGAGCGAACAGCAGCGCAACCATCAACCCCTCTGGGCAAAGCCACGACCTGGGCCCTTTACCGAACGCATCCTTAATTACCACCAGGAGAAGGACATCTAGCCACTCCGCATCGCCTTCTACACTGGCACGGAGGATCCTCTCACTCACATACATTCTTTCCAGTCTGCCCTGGGGTGCAAGGGCCTCACTAACGAAGGCATGTGCCTTCTCTTCCCTTCCACTCTCAGTGGCGCGGCCCTGAACTGGTTTTACAGGCTGAACCCCCGCACCATCAACACATTTGACAGTCTGAAACAGGCCTTCCTGGACCATTTCATGATCCAGACCGATCGCCTCTACTCCGCGGACGACCTATACATGCTTAGACAGGGTGAGGACAAGCTCCTTCGGGAGTACGCAGCCAGGTTCAGCCACGAATACTCCCGCTGCCCAGATACTGATGATCGTGCCGCCTTCGGTGCTTTCAAGAGTGGCATCCGAGAGTCTAACTTCCGGTACCTGGTCCACAGCAACTCTTGGAACACATATGCCGAGCTGATGAAGCAGGCAGCAGTTCATGCCAAGGCTGAGTACTTCAACTCCAAGCGCAGCCCAGCCATCCCGGCACATAATCCTTTTGCTGATCCTCCACCTGCTTCAGTACCCATCCCATCTCCACCTCAACATTTTGCCCCTACACCAAGCACCCAAGGTGCCCAGCACCCCAAAAGGAAGGATAGCTACCAGCATACCTTCAGCAATAACAAGCGGGGCAGACATGGGAACCACCACCAGTCTAGTGGAAGCAACCCCCCCAGGACAAATGACCGGGCCCCACTCTCATTCTCACCCAAGCCCAGGTTCGAGGTCTTCACCACCCTCAACACTACCTATGAGAATGTCCTAGTGCACGAGGCACCTATCATACCTCAGCCTCCACCCCGAAAACCAAGCAGCAAGCCTATGCCTAACACATGAGTCTTCTGTTGCTTTCATCAGTTCGGTGGCCATGATACCGAATTTTGTGTTGCCTTGCGCAACATCATTGAGGGACTTATTCGCGAGGGGAAGCTGGATAAATACGTGCACAACCTCCCACCCCCACCTAACCCTCACCAACGGCAGATCAACATGATCTCAACCATCAGTGGTGGCCCAACCATGGCTGGAACCTCCAACAACTTCATCAAACATTATGTTCGCTCCACCTATGCGCACCAGGTCTTCAGCACTGAGCAGGGACGCTTGCCGAAGACACAAAAAACAGGCTGGGCCTCCATTACCTTCTGCGAGGATGAGGAGCGCGGCGTTATCCTCCCTCATGATGACCCAATCATTATCTGCGCCGACATATCTAACTTTGACGTTGGGCGCATCTTGGTAGACACTGGTAGCTCAGTCAGTGTGATGTTTGCTGATGCCTTCAATGAGCTCCAGGTCCCGTCTCATTTGCTTGACTGAAGCATCACACCCCTGGTGAGCTTTTCGGGGGATGTGGTCCAGCCTATCGGGAGCATTCATCTCCCTATCTCTATTGGAGCAGCACCCCAGCGAACGACGGTCACCACTCCCTTCCTCATTATTGATTGCCCCACAGCCTACAACGTTATCCTGGGACCCCCTGCCATGGCCCAAATAAAGGTTTTCATTTCCACACATATGTTACTGTTGAAATTTCCTACCCCCCACAGCACGGGCACGGTGCGCGGTGATCAACTTGGCGCCCGAAGCTGTTATGCTTCCGCAGTAAAGTCTACCAATCGTCAACATAGGGGTGAGGCCCTAGCGGTAACCCAGGCCCTAGCCCCACCTCGAGCTGGCACTGAGCGCCCAGAAGACCCCAGGGAGGAATCTGCCACCCAACAGGCCGAACCTGTGGAGGACCTTGAACTGGTCACTCTCCATGAGGATATCCTGGATCGACAGGTCAGGATCGGCACCTCCCTCTCACAAGAGCTTCGCTCCGATCTTATTGCCTTCCTCCGCCTCAACTCTGAAGTCTTTGCTTGGTCTTATAACGATATGTCGGGCATATCACCTGACGTCATCTCCCATAGGCTAAGCATTAATCCTGTCGTCCGACCCGTTCGGCAGAAGCGTCGTGCTTATGACCCAGAGCGGTATGAGGCCATGAAGGCGGAGGTGGATAAGCTGAGCACCATTGGATTCATCAAGGAGGTGGATTATCCCACTTGGCTAGCCAATGTGGTAATGGTACGTAAACCAAGGAAGGGTTAGCGCATGTGCGTAGACTACACAAATCTCAACCGGGCCTGCCCAAAGGATAGTTTCCCCTACCACGCATTGACCAACTAGTTGACGCCACGACTGGCCACGCCTTCCTCAGCTTCATGGATGCTTACTCAGGGTACAACCAGATCTTCATGCATCCTGAGGACCAAGCTCATACATCCTTCATCATCGACCGTGGCCTTTACTGCTACAAAGTCATGCCATTCGGCCTCAAGAACGTCGGGGCTACATATCAGCGTCTAGTGAACAGCATCTTCGCTCCACTAGTTGGCAACACCATGGAGGTTTATGTTGATGACATGCTGGTCAAGAGTCGCACTGCTGACCAGCACATCCCCAACCTCTCTGCCATGTTCACCATTTTGAAGCAGTATAGGATGCGGCTCAACCCCACCAAGTGTGCATTTGGGGTGGCCTCCGGCAAATTCCTTGGCTTCATGATCAGCCAAAGAGGTATTGAGGCCAACCCAGAGAAGATCCAGGCTATCTTGGACATGACGATACCCAAGACGGTCAAGGACATTCAGAGCCTTACCGGGCGTGTCGCAGCCCTGACCAGATTTATCTCTAAAGCTACTGATCGTTGCGCCCCATTATTCAAGGCACTTAAGGGTAGCAAACGCAGCATTACCTGGACTGCCGAATGTGACCAGGCATTCGGCGAGCTCAAGGCGTACATGAGCCGAGCCCCTTTATTGTCAACCCCTGAGTCTGGGGACGTCCTCACCATCTACCTCTCTGTCTCGGCTACAGCGGTTAGCTCAGTGCTCATTCGACCACACGAAGGTGCTGAGCATCCGGTGCACTATGTGAGCAAAGGATTGCAAGATGCGGAGATTCGATACCCAGACATTGAGAAACTTGCTGTCGCCCTGGTCGTTTCGGCTAGACGCCTCCGGCCATACTTTCAAGCTCACACCATCCATGTCTTAACCAACCAACCACTCAGGCAAGTGTTGCAGAAGCCAGAGACTTCTTGGAGGTTAGTCAAGTGGGCCATTGAACTTGGTGAGTTTGATATCCACTACAAACCCCGCCAAGCCGCAAAGGGCCAAGCCGTGACTAATTTCATATCTGAATTCACCGAATCCCATACTCTGGCCAGTCCTTAGATTGCAATCACGCCTACTCCTACCTCGAACCAGGTCCACGTCGCCAGCAACGGCTCCCCAGACTTAACTCAGCCCTTCCAATGCCCAGGGATGTGGAGCTGGCCTCGTTCTCATATCCCCAGACAAGGTTGCCCTTGAGTATGCCCTCCGCTTCAAATTCCACGCCTCCAACAATGAGGCCGAATACGAAGCACTCTTAGATGGCCTTCGCCTAGCCAAGGAGATGGGCACCAAGCAAATCCAAATATTCAGCGACTCACAGCTTGTTGTCCACCAAGTCAACCAGGACTTCACGGCCAAGGACGTCTCCATGACAGCCTACCTCCAACATACCCGCCACCTGCTTACAACTTTCAATGCTTATCTCATAGGCCAGGTGCCACGCTCTGAGAACAGCCATGCTGATGCATTAGCAAGGCTAGCCTCGACGATGGAGCAGGGCATAGGTCAAAACATCCACATCGAGTTCTTGGACCAGCCCCGTACACGGGCACCACTCATTTGTGTCATCGATCAAAGCCCTACATGGATGGACCCTATCACTCAGTTCTTGCAGAACCAGACACTACCTACTGATCCTGCTGAAGCGCGGCGTGTTCGCTATCGTTCCGCCCGATACTTGATCATCAATGGTGCCCTATACAAGCGCGGCTTCAGCCTCCCCTACCTTCGGTGCTTGACCCCAGAGGAAGGTACCTATGTCCTGAGAGAGATTCATGAGGGTATCTGTGGCAACCACTCAGGCGCTCACTCCCTAGCACACAAGATCATTCGGCAGGGATATTTTTGGCCATCACTTCACACTGATGCCCAGACCTTCACCCAGAAGTGCGATAAGTGTCAGCGATTTGCCAACATCCCACAACTTCCAACCGAGCCATTGACAGCCATGGTCAGTCCTTGGCCATTCGCCCAATGGGGACTTGACCTCATCGGACCTATGCCTGAGGGCAAGGGCCAAGTCAAGTATGCAGTTGTAGCTGTGGACTACTTCACCAAGTGGGCTGAAGCTGAAGCCTTAGCCACCATCACTGCAGCCCGCATCGAAACTTTTGTTTGGCAAAACATCGTCTGTCGCTTTGGCATCCCCAACACCATCGTCACGGACAATGGCCGGCAATTTGACAACGCAAAGTTCAAGCAATTTTGTTCCAACCTCAAGATAAAGCTTTGCTTCGCCTCCCCAGCCCATTCTCAATCTAATGGCCAGGTGGAAGCTGTGAACAAGATCATCAAGAAAACTCTAAAAACTAAGCTTGACAAAGCTAAGGGTTGCTGGCCGGTGCTACTCCCAGAGGTTCTCTGGTCCTATCGCACCACCTTCCGGACCTCAATAGGAGAAACACCTTTCTCTCTCTCCTTTGGTACCGAAGTAGTGGCACCAGTGGAGATTGGCCAGCCCACATACCGCACCTCCACTTATGAGGCCAAAGCCAATGACGAGCAGCTAGCCCTAAACCTCGACTTCATTGACGAGCTTCGTGACCAATCCAACATGCGCAATGTCGCGTACAAACAGCGCATCGCTAAGTACTATGACTCCCGAGTCAAAGCCCGTGCTTTCAAACTTGAGGACTGGGTCATGCGCAAGATTTCCTTAGCCACCAAGAATCCTACTGGAGGTACCTTGGGCCCAACATGGGAAGGTCCTTATGAGGTTACCAAAGTCTGCTGCCCCGGCACTTATCAGCTTCGTGACACCAAGGGCAAGACCTTGCCTCATCCTTGGAATGCGAATCACCTCAAGTACTACTATAAGTAAACATACCTAGACTCTAGGCCATTATGTTTTCTTAGACTTTGGTCTCGAGCCTTGACTCAACCAACTCTTGTACTTTTTGCCTTCCGGCACATATTTTATGAACGCCCGACCTTGGCTCATTTTCATCAATGACATGGTTCTCATTTTGCTAAGCACAATTGATATCATATGACAACAAGTCTCATATCTTAGCACATCAAAATAACCTTGCCCCAGGCAAGGCAAAATGTTCATACATAATCACCTATGCTTGGTTCCATACGGACTCAAAACAAGGGCCACCCATCCTTGGTTCCACACTCACCTATGCTCAAGCTCCAGCGAATCCGACAAGGACCCAGCTCACGGGATGACGACACTACGGACCCAGCTCCAGATCGTCTCGGAAACCATGCACTCAGACCCACTCCTTGCCAAAGACAAATCAGCCCTACTTAGGTCCCTTGCCGAAAGGCACCCGCCGCCCGGAATCCTTCCTCCTGGCAGCTGACTCAGAGCCCAGCTCCAGCTTGCCCAAACTGCTGAGTCCTAGCTATCTCTTGCCTAGCCCCCTCTTTTTTTTTGTGCCCTACAAATGTCCCAGCTATCTCTTGCCGAACGGCAAGAGATAGTCAAACTTATTTATATACCCCTTGTTTCTTCACTTACCTAAGCCAACAAAAAGGCCCAGCCTTTTTGCTCAACCAAAACAAAGGTCCTAGCTACTGCTTGCCGAACGGCAGGTTTCATAAAAACCAAATACAGGACACACCACTCCCCTCGATACCCTAGCAGCTAGCCCACTCATACCTAGCCTAACACTCACGGCCCATCCCAAACAATTAGCTAGGTCAATAAGAAATGGGCCACATACCATATTTTCCCTTTTTCTTTTTTAACCAATCTTGCCACAATTTATCAGACCAACTCCACTATTCAATTTCGCCAGGCCCTTTGCCTGGGCCAACCCAAAGGCCTTCTTTTGGGCTTTTGTTCTTTCAAAACCCATGCCACATGCCAAACAACAAACAAAAAAAAAAAAAAAAAAAAAAAAGGAAATGCCATCCCATTCTTTTCTCCTTCAAACTTCAGCCCAATCTTTTGGGAACCAAACCCTTGTTGCCCAAAACCATCACTTGGTTATCAAATGGCAAGACCTGAGTCAACAATCACTGAGGCCCATAGATTTCCTTGCTGAAGCTTCAAAAACCCAAGTCTACTTTTCTTTTAAAGGTACCCAGCTACCAACAATCACTGAGGCTAACACAGCTTTTATCATACCTTCCAAGTGTTAACGCAACTTCTAGCTTGACAACTTGGGGGACTAGGGACTGCCCTACGGCTCCCACTAAACCTGGAATGCTCGGTCATGATCACACAAAAGCTTACAAGTTCCCAACCCATAAGTCACTTCTTGACCGCGAACTTTGGGGACTATTGTTTACACCATAATCAACCGAGCATATCTAGTCTCAAAACAACTAGCACCAAGGCAGACACGCCTTCTCTCATGCCGAAGGAAGACACTCTTCCGAGGTGCCAAGCACCTGCCGAAACTCCCGACTGCCAAAGCTCACAAACTGCTAAACCTAATTCTCATGACACGTGTCACCACCGCGGCGACTTGCACAAAGTCCCACATTGGAAATCTACACCAACCTCCCACTTTCACTTCCCTATAAAAAGGAAACAGTACCCCAGTAAGAGGGGTAACTACTTTTCTGCCTTTTACTATTACTCTGCAAAAGTTACCCTTCTTAGCTGACTTAAGCATCGGAGAGCCTTCGGCCGGCACCACACCGGTGCCCGGAGCTTGACGACTGCTTCCCTTATTTTTGTCTTCTGCAGGCTAGCCTTTATTGAAGGCCCAGACCCTTTCCCTGCTGAAGGCAAATCCCTTTTTCTCTAAGTTGACCCTCTCCGAAAAAAAGCATCAACAGAAGAGGCAGGCGTTTTTGCACGCACCGGGTACCCTCAACTCAAAAGGGCAGTCCCTACTTATATCAGCCACACATCGAATCCCCTTAGCGCACCCACCACCCGTGGGACTAAACTCCATAGGAAGCCCATCAACCAGAGAAATATCCAAATAATCTATGTTCAAAGTTGGATGATATTCAGCCATGGTGCATTGGGGTTGACCAGAATCTTGGCATTTGAGGAGACCTCCACAATCACATGTTAGGCATTTTCCCCATCCAGCTTCATCGAAGCTGCACCCGGTTCGTCCCCAAATACGGGCAGGGAAAGTGCCCATGTTCACGTCAAAGGACCAAGTTGCTAAAATATGAATATGGTTTGAATACTTTGGGTTAAGTTTTATTCTTCTCCATAAGGAGGTATATATAGGAGTTTACATTAGGGTTTTACAAGGAATTAGATACAATAAAGAATTAGGAAAGTATCTCCTAATTGTACAATGATTTATCACTTATATACAAATAGGAAAGTAAATCCCTTAATTAATCAAGGAAGTAAATCTCCTTGATTAATTAGAAGACTCACGTCAACACTCCTCCTCAAGTTGGTGCATATATATCACCAATGCCCAACTTGGTACGTAAGTCATGAAATACTCTTCCGCAAACAGCTTTGGTTAAAATATCTGCTAGTTGATCTTTTGATTTTACAAATGGTAGGCGGATGAACTTTTTCTCAATTTTTTCTTTGATAAAATGTCTATCAACCTCAACATGTTTGGTTCGATCATGTTGAACTAGATTATGGGCAATATCGATAGCTGACTTGTTGTCACAATGCAACTCCATTGGCTTTTTTGCCTTGAAGCCCAATTTTGTCAAGAGTCTTCTGATCCACAATAATTCACAAACTCCGTGAGCCATTCCTCGATACTCTGCTTCTGCACTGGACCGAGAAACCACATTTTGTTTTTTAACTCCGCCAAGTGACTAGGTTACCTCCTACAAATGTAAAGTAACTAGAAGTAGAGCATCTATCTGTAATGGAACCAGCCCAATCAGCATCTATATATCCAACAACTTCAAGATCTCCATTTTTTGAGAACATTAATCCTTTCCTAGGGGCTGACTTTAAGTATCTTAATATCCGATCAACTGCATTCCTATGAGAAACACTGTTTCTTATTGGTTGGTTCTTGGTCCATGTCTTCACACAACTTGTGATTCATCTCAATGGGTGTGTCAATACGCTTACATCCAAGCATTCTTGTTTCAGTGAGTAGATCCATTACATACTTTCTTTGAGACAGAAATATACCAGTTTTTGACATTGCTACTTTGATTATGAAAAAGTACTTCAGATCACCTAAATCCTTCATCTCAAATTCCTAAGACAAATAATTTTGCAACTTCAGTTGCTCTTCTGCGTCGTTTCCATTTACGATTATGTCATCTACATAAACAATCAATGCAGTAAGTTTTCCTTTATCACGCTTCAAGAACAGGGTGTGATCTAAATTACTCTGTGTATATCCAAAATTCTTCATAGATTTAGTAAATATGACAAACCATGCCCTAGGAGATTGCTTTAACCCATATAATGACTTTCTGAGTTTGCAAACTTGATTTTTCTTGTCAGGAGCTGAATTACATCCTGAGGGTAAGTCCATATATACTTCTTCTTCCAAGTCTCCATGTAAGAATGCATTTTTGACATCAAACTGATGTAGTGGCCAATCGAGATTTGCTGCTAGAGACAATAGGACTCTAATAGTGTTAATCTTAGCTACTGGGCAAAGGTCTCCTCGTAGTCTATCCCATATCTTTGTGTGTACCATTCGCAACCAATCCAGCTTTATATCTTTCAACGGATCCATCTACTTTGAGTTTCACAGTATAAATCCACCTGCATCCTACTGTCTTCTTTCCATGAGGTAGGGGCATGAGTTCCTATGTGACATTCTTTTGGAGAGCTCGCATTTCTTCATTCATAGCTTCTTTCCATTTTGGGACTTCTAGTGCTTCAGTTACACTGTTGGGGACAGATATGTCAGCCAACTACTTCACATAGTGCACACAAGACTCTGATAATCTGCTGTGAGATATATAATTATTGATGGGGTATTTCCCTTTGGCTTTAGGATCTGCTTCATATTGCACTCGAGGTTTACCACAGTTCTTCCTTTCTGGAAGCTGATATGTAGGCTATGTGCCTTCTAAAATCAAATCATCATGAGATATATCATTAATGTTATCATTTTCAGGAAAAGATGTTACATGAATGACTTCCTCAGCAGGTGATTGGTGCAGTACTAGAGCTGAAGCGTGCAAAATCTCATAAAACGGTTCAATTTCCTCCTGATTCTAACCTCGTGGAGACAACATATAGTTTTCTTATGGCGACTGGTCATTTTGAAGCAGGTTCTCTGTAGTTGAAGAACTAAGAGGGGGCGACTGGTTGCTTTTCACTGGCTACCGGTCAATTTGATGCAGAGTGACGTCCCGGGGAAAAAAAATCAAGAATTGGAGCAGTGGTGGATTCTCCATTCTCCTTCTAGGTTGTTGAAAAGTATAAGTCATGTTCTTGAAACACAACATCTATGGAGGTAAAGACCTTCTGACTAGGAGGATGATAACACCTGTATCCTTTCTGATGAGGTGCATAGCCAATGAAAACACATTTTTCGACTCGGGGATCCAATTTGCTTCGTTGGTGATCATGTAAGTGGACAAATACAACACAGCCAAAAATTCGGGGTTCCAGGTTTGGCGTAGGAGGTGTTTGGATATGGTGGTAAAGTGTTTGAAGTGGTGTTTGGAAATTTAGGATACTAGAGGGAATCCGATTGATAAGGTATGCTGCAGAGACGACGGCTTCGCCCTAATAGGATCGTGGCATATTGGCACAAAAGAGAGAGGCACGAACGACTTCCAATAAGTGTCTGTTCTTTCTTTCAGCCACCCCATTCTGTTAGGGAGTGTAAGGGCATGAGCGTTGATGTGTGATGCCATAATCTTGTAAGAACTGGTTAAGATCATGGTTGAGAAATTCTCCGACATTGTCAGAACGAAGAACCTGAATTCTGGCATGAAACTGAGTCTCCACCATTTGATAAAACTGTTGAAACCTTGAATTGACTTCCCCTTTAGTTTTGAGAAGGGAAACCCAAGTCATGCGTGTGCAATCATCTATAAACATGACAAACCATCACGCCCCTGCCGGAGTGGCAATTTGAGCAGGTCCCCAAACATCATAATGAACAAGAGAAAACGGAACCAAACTCTTATTTGAACGTAATGGGAATGGGACACGATGGCTTTTAGCCAATTCACACATATCACACTGGAAGCTGGAAACATCAAGATTGGAAAATAATGATGGAAACAACTTCTTAAGATAACCGAACGAGGCATGCCCAAGACGTTTATGTCATAACCAAATTTTGTCTCTCTCCCCCTCAGAACGAGTTCCACTGGTTGTGAAAGCTTGACCAACCTTGATCTCATTATCCGGTGCCCAATCCAAGTAGTAGAGTTTGCCCCGCCGAGTACCACAACCAATCGTCTTTCCTGTGAGGATGTCCTGAAAAACACAATGATTCGGCCAAAATGTTACAGTACACCCCGAAGTAGTAGTAAGTTAGGCAACAAATAACAAGTTATGATTCAAAGATGGAACAAGTAATACAGAATCCAGATGTAGAGAAGTAGATAGAGATAGAGAGCCCTCCCCAACCATAGGGGCGGGGGTACCATTAGCATTAGACACCACCGACGGAGTGGATGATTTGCGGCTAATAAGTTGGCCAGGATCAAATGTCATGTGATCCGTAGCACTCGAGTCGATAATCCATGTTGAGTTTTGAGAGGACGTATGAAAAGTAGAACCTTTGGTGGTGGCGAGAGAAGCATGAGTCTGGATAGCCGGGTCAGCAGGATTGACCGCATGCTTCTGTGAGTCTGCAATAAGGGGGAGAATCATAGGGGTTCCTGATATCGCGGCGGAAGTAAGATGTGATATGAGGAGGTGAGGAATTGTGTTTGGAGGAATTTGATTTGAGGAATTGGATGTATGAATTTGATGTAGGAATTGGATTTGAGAGGTATGTGTATAAGATTTGAGGGTATGTGTTTAGGGATTTGGATAAGAGGATTTGAGGACTTTAAATTTGAGGGATTTGGATTTGGGGAAAAATATGAGGAATTTGATTTAGGGTTTTGGATTTGAATATGAGAAATTTGAGATAAGGGTTTAGAGACAACCTAGGATCGATTGCTCTGATACCATGCTAAAATATGAATATGGTCTGAATACTTTGGGTCAAGTTTTATTCGTCTCCATAAGGAGATATATATAGGAGTTTACATTAGGGTTTTACAAGGAATTAGATACAGTAAAGAATTAGGAAAGTATCTCCTAATTGTACAATGATTTATCACTTATATACAAATAGGAAAGTAAATCCCTTAAATAATCAAGGAAGTAAATCTCCTTGATTAGTTAGGAGACTCACGTCAACACAAGTTTGGTCTGGAAGAAGCTGCTTCCCTCCGCCGGGAAGGGAGGCTGCGTAGACAGTGAAGAGGCATTGGTTTCGGACGTTGAAATGTGTTCCATGAATAGTTGCAAAGAAGAGGGTGATGATGATCAATATCAATAGGATGGAGAAAACGGATGAAAGGTTTTTTCTGATAAGCAGGAGGCTCATTTTGGAATTGAATTGTAAAGACGCTATATTCATGGGGTTAATTGTATAGAGCAAAGAAGAACTGTTTCACAAAATTAATTGGCATCCCTTTCTTAGGTCATTTTCTTTGTTTTCTAGTCTATGTCCGCTACTGCACATGGAAAGGAAAGGGAAATTTATTCTTCACTTTCCCTTTTTTTCACAAGGAAGAAAAAAAAAGCAAGTAAATTAAGTCAATGATGTGTAATTTTATTCTACAAAATTAAATCAATGAGGCACATTTAGCTACATTTTTATAGAGTTACTAATCGTTCCTATCCAATAAGACATCAAGTATGAATTAATGTCTCTTTTGGCCCTATTATATCAGACAAAAAATACAAAATATAATGTGTCTACAAAGAAAAAGGAAATATATATTGGATTTGCCTGAGTCTAAAACATCGGTTAGTTATGATAATTCTTGAAAAAGTTTCATACATATTTAAGGTCTGTTTAGTTCAAAATTTAGGAGTTTGGAAATACATTTCAAGATTTAAAAGATCAACTTCCTACTAAGTAAGCATTGATATTTTGTCGGTAGACATAGCTTTCCCAAAGGCTGGTCCAATTATTTTAGTCGCAGGGTGCCAAAATACATCAAAGACTCATGGGTGGGGTCTGTGGCCAGTCCACGCTGAAGAAAAAGTCCTACGCCTTCTGTTCACAGCTTCTCAAGGAGACAGGATATTTTGGCATATACATTATTTTCCACCCTCAATTAATTGTCATTATATTCAACAATATCTACCCTATATTGCTATGACCAAGTTTTTCCTTTTATCCAATCAACAAGAAGACAGCATACGGCACTTAAAAAGATATAGGTACTCCATAACTCTTAAAGAAAATCGAATTTGACTTGCTTCCTCCCCCTCCCTTAGCCTCAGGCAACTTTTGGACTAAGAATATTAGGGGCCTTAAAAATCCTCACTTTTTACTAAGATGTATTTAGGGGGTGTATTCAATTAGGATTTTAAAAGACTATTTTGGGATAAATAAGTCTTGTGGTATTCAATTAAAACTTTTAAATAATCTAAACTAGTCTTGTGGTATTCAATAAGGACTATTAGGATTTTTTAAAGAGGGTGTCCAAATCTAGTGGTATTCAATCAAGACTTTAAACAAGTAACAAAAAGTCTTTTGGTATTCAAAAACTTGCTAATTTCGAAGGATTTTTTTTAAAGAAGGAATTTGTGTGACTTTTTAGTGGGAGATATAAATACCAAACCCTAAAAAAAATCCCACCATAACCCGTCAGACTTTTCACGTGAGATTTTTTTCTCTCTGCGAGAGAAGATAAACAGTTCTTCGTGAAGATAAACAACTCTTCGTGAATAAGGTATTGCTTCATTCTCGTGCTATGTCTTCTTGCGTTTATTGTATGTATATGCCATGCTATGTTTTCTTTGCTGGTAAAAAAAATTTGTATTCGTTTTCTATAACCATGCTGGCATCTATTGATTCTTTTTCAATTTCTATAACCATGCTGACATCGTTTTCTATAACCATGTGACCTTATTCTGTAATGGGTACTTTGCTTTTTACATGTTTTTGAAAGGCTCTGTTGCTGTTGAGATATCTTCCATATTTTCGTATATGAATATATTCATGCTTCTTGTTGTTGCCTGGCTTTGGGTTTTCTTTCCTTTCTTCCCCTTGTTATTTTTCCAAGCTTTGCTTGTGACGTTTGTTTGGTTGGATTGAGGGTTGAGATAGGGTGTTGTTGATTTGGATGAATCTTTGTTGTAATAATAAAATAGCACTCAAGAATTAAATAAAATAAGCAGTTAGTTGAAATCAATATGCTTATTATTGTTGTACCTGGAAGCAATTTGTTTTGGTTTTCTTGTTTGGTATGATATGTATTCTTGTGAAATAACTAATAAATTTCTTACATATATTGTAGTAGTAATTTAATGGGGGATTCACAACAAGGAAATAACAAAGGAAAGGGCAAAGAGAAAGAGAACTATGAATCTTGGACCATGGACGATACCAATGAGTTGTTGCATCTCTTGGTGGATGCTATCAATAGTGGATTGCAGATGCTAATGGGTCACTTAGCAAGCAAAATGTAGAAAGAGTGATACTTCCTCGTCTTAATGCGAAAATTAGGTTCCCTAAAACTTATAATCATTATTTGAGCCGAATGAAGTGGTTTAAGAAGCAATATAACAAGATGTCGATGTTTATGTGTAACAACTCTGGCTTTGGGTGGGACCCAATTGCAAAGACGTTCACTGCTAGTGAGGAAGTATGGAAAGATTACTTGAAGGTGAGCTTAATTCATAATCTTTTAAATATATTAATAGCTTACTAGTTTAGTACATTATGTTATTTGCAATATATTAACAATGAATAATTTTTTCTTTGCTAGTCCCACCCAAGTCAAAGTAAACTTCGAGAAAAAAGTGTAGTTGATTATGAGGATTTGAAGATTGTCGTTGGGGGTGGAACTGCTACTGGGAATGGTTCCATTGCATTAGGCGCTGATGATACCGATGCAACAACTTATGGGGAAGAAAATAGAGATTTTGGGATGGAAGACTTTTCATATGATCCTAAAAATGATGCGTTCATAGCACCAAATCACTATGAACCATCCTACCAGCCTCCATCACCCCGCCAAGGTATGAATCAAGGTATGTGATAATTATCTAATTATAATAATATTGTTATTATAATATATATTTGTCATAATATGGTTATTGTGATGTATGAATAATTTTAGGATTGGATTGGAGCTATTGATGGTACACATATTCCGGCAATGGTGAGGGGACGAGATGTAAGCAGTTATCGTAATCGTCATGGAAAGATATCACAAAATGTATTAGCTGCTTGTAACTTCGATTTGGAATTCATATACGTTCTTAGCGGGTGGGAGGGTTCAGCTCATGATTCAAAGCTACTAAATGATGCTTTATCAAGGAGGAATGGACTTAAAGTGCCCCAAGGTAAGTACTTATTTTAAATGATAAATATTTTTTTTTAAACTTTGCATACTAATTTTATATGTATTGTATATATAATTAGGTAAATATTTCCTAGTGAATTGTGGATTTCCTAATCGGCGCCAATTTTTAGCTCCATTTCGAGGTGTGCGATATCATCTCCAAGATTTTACAGGTCATGGTAATGACCCTCAAAATGAAAATGAATTGTTCAATCTTCGCCATGCGTCATTGAGGAATGTGATCGAGAGGATATTTGGCATTTTTAAATCACGGTTCACAATTTTTAAGTCAGCGCCTCCATTTCCATTTAAGACACAAGCAGAGCTTGTGTTAGCATGTGTAGCACTACATAACTTTCTTCGCAAAGAGTGTCGTTCTGATGAATTTCCAATTGAACCAGTGAACGAATCTTCTTCATCTTCAGTATTACCAGTTAATGAAGAAGAGAATTTGGAACCTATTGTTCAAACCCAAGAGCAGCAACGAGAAAATGCTAATGCATGAAGAGCTACCATAGCTTTAGATATGTGGAGAAATGCTACTTAGGAGGACATGAAGCTACATCAAATTGGCTATTAAAAGATTGGGAAAACTTTATTGAGTTTTACTTTTCTTTGTTAAAATTGTGTTTCTTTGTTATCTTTTTCATTGACTCTTGTAACTTTGAATGTTTGCTTTTATTTATTGTTCCATTCCATTTGATCATGTTTATGTTATTGCTGATGCAAGTGCCCACAACTAAGTTGGTTGGTTATCGTACAAATAAAAAATCCATGTGGTCCTTTCAAATCTTATAAATTCTTATGATATAAATCTTTAAAATCCAAACATAAAAAATCCTGAGTATAAAAAATCTTTCAAAAAAATCTTATAAGTCATTACATTCTTAAATAGTCTTTTAAAATCCACTGGACTTATTTATCCATAAATAGTCTTTTAAAATCTCAATTGAATACACCCCCCTTAGTTTCATACATCGTTCTCAAATAGGATTATTATTATCGATACTTATGCGATATAAAGACTGAATTTTTTTATTATCAATATAATGGAATACTATCGATGATGTCAATATTAACAATTTATCGAGATGATAATTGATCTATTAATTAGCTTTTCTTCTGATTCTAAAAAATCGAAGACTATAGTTTCATCATTAACAGAACCACTATTTTTTTGCGGTTTGGATCCGCAGAACAATTCTACAATAGATCGATAGAGTCATATACATAATTTATGTTCATATTTGTTTTTGGCTTAATGCGCAAAAATAAACATACAAATTTGTCAATACTCCAAAGAAAAAACGTATGGACTTGGGTTTATCCAATTTGCTATAGAAATCTCAAAGACCATAAGAGAATTTCTAAGAATCAGACTTGCGCCTGATTTTATTATTATTATTATTATTATTATTATTACAATTAATGGAATATTATAGTCAAAGTTTGCAATACTTTGCTGCCCAAACGGTGAAGGGACAATTGCGTTCCAAAAGAGATAGAACCAAAACACTCTAAAATCTGAAAAATAAACCAAAGAAAATAAGGGCTCATTTGATGATCATTTCAATTTTAGTTTTCAGTTTTTATGTTTGGTGGTAGAGTATAGAGGAAACTGAGAGGACCAATCTCAGGGCTAACACAACCGAATTGGTTGAGGAAACCCCAGCGACCAAGCACTCCCGCCCCCAAAAGCGGAGACCGAAGTGAGAATGGGAGTAAGGATGAGATTGAGAGAGAGAATGAGAGGATGAGATTGAGAAAGAGAATGAGAGGGGAGGATGGGAGGAGTAACAAAGAAAACAATTCCATTTAGATTCTCAGTTTCTATTTTTTATTTTCACTTTTGTTACTCCTCCCTTCCATCCTCCCCTCTCATCTTCCCTCTCAATCCCATTTTCTCTCTCATTCTCACTTCCATTCTCCCTTTTTTCCCCTCACTACTCTAGCACAAAAAATGAAAACAAAAAACTAAAATTGAAATAGTTATCAAACAGGCCCTAAGAGAAGCTTCCCTAGAGATCTCAAACTGCATCTGTCAACCTGAATTGCTTTCGATTTATAGGTCTCTTTTTCATATATGAATACTTTTACTAGGAATGACCACTGATGATATACTTTTTGTGATAGAAGAGCTATAACCCATTGAGCTTCAACATTAGTTTCGAATTTAGGTAATCAAAATTTCACATCCATTAGGTAATATATGAAGCAAAATCGCCCAGCATTAAGAAAAATAAAGCAAGAATGATGATCGTAAGATTTTCACTTTATTTTTCAATCATTTTTCATCGAATAGATCGAAATTAAAGATGGTGCTACTCAATAGAAAATGAAAAACTGAGACTTTCATTTCGTTATGATGTCTATGAACCGAGTGAGAGAGTACAGGTACTTTGTTTTACATAATGCACACCATTACATGTGCTGATGACAAAGCCCTCAAACTAATTTTATTGCGTCACAGACTTATTCATAGATATTATAAACTAGAAGACGTATCTGCTTCTTCATGGGCAGAACACAACCCTATAGTTGGTCCCGCCAGGGCATGTAAATGTGCTTGTTTGGTCATCCTTAGGGTAGCTGTAAGCATCCGGGCACCGACTCTTGAAAAACCTAGAGAAATCTGTAGGTTGACAGCTCCCAGAATTGCAGCAATATTGATCAGTCTTGAACACAGTGCAAGGGTTGTTGCAGCCTCCTGGAGCCCTCAGTTGGCTAGGACACTGCCCATTAATATCAGCCGTACATTTGATACCCCTAGTGCACCCATTAGACGTGGGACTAAAGTCCATGGGAACATTAAAGCCATCAACAAGGGAAATGTCAAAGAAATCCAAGTTGTTAAATTGGTTAAGGGCATATTCAGCTAGGGTGTTTGGGGGTTGGCCATAGGCTTGGCATTGGAGGACACCCCCACAATCACCTGTTTGACATCTCCCACGTCCGGCTCCATCAAAGCTGCATCCGGTCCGGGCCCAAATGCGAGCCCCTTTGGTTCCGGCAGCCACGTCTAGGCCCCAACTTTTGCCTCTATTAAGTTGGCGTCCACCGCCTGGCGTGGCGGCTGCCCAGACGGTGAAGGGGCAATTGTTTCGGATATCAAAACGAGCTGCACTGGTTGATGCAAAGAGGAGAGTGACACATAGGATGCAGAAGACTAGGAGGTTTCTGAGGATACTCATTTTGGAGGTGGTGTTTTTTTTAATAACTGTGAGAAGGTGTCTTAAGGTTATATAGAGCGGGTAATGGGGAAGGGGCAGTGTATGACGTACATAATTTTGAAAAATGACGTCCCTTTCTTAGCTCATTGTTCCATCCCATGCACACCTGGAAATAGGGCCAATATTTATTCACTGTCCCTCCCCTCAACCACCATAAGGAGAAAAAGTGATGAGAGACTTTTTCCACGAAATGGTAGAACTTTTGCGTCATTTATCACTTCAGAACATATAATTTTATACAAATTAAGTCAATTAGATGTGAATCGTGATTAAGCAAAAATTGTGTGGCGGGAAACAGTTCAAACATGTGTATTGATGTGACATTAATTAGCTTTTAGTCTTCTTTCTTAAATTTGAATCCCTGCTTCATTATAATAGCTGTGAGAAGGTGTCTTAATGTGACATGCTGTGGTTTACTTCAGCTTGTGTGCAAGTTGGTCAAGTGGGTACCGATCAGAACTGTAGTTATTAGTCAGCCAGCCAGCATTTAGAATCCAATCACCCCCTTAATTAGTTTGGCGAGCTTAGTTTTAGAGTTGGAGTATGCTTGGGCTAACTATATAATTAAGGCATAAGCCAGTTGTTAATTAATTGACTAAGGAGCAAAGAAAATTCTCATATGAAACAGGATATTCCAGCATATTGTTTTGTTCCACCCCGTGCCCTTATGATCGTATGCAATTCTACCATCTTATCATCGTTGTTGTTTGTGCAAATAATCTCGAGGGAGAACATTCGCTTCTAGACCACACCCGGAGGTGTTGGCCAAAGGCCCTCTGATGCCTAAGTTAGTTTGATTGAATCTAAGTGAAACAATAGCTAAAAAATGGTACGTAGATTTCTCTAGGGTGAGAACCGGGAGGCCGGAGTTTAGAGTTAGGTTGAGAGTTAACTTGATGAATGAAGCCATTTATTTATAGAAGCCTCGAAGGCTATGGTTTCATGGAGAATAAAACTCTCATTATGAAGTAGTTTATTCTTTCCACAAATTGTAGAGATTTTGTCCATTAGGGATTTGATTGGGATCCAAATATCCTAATTTGATAATGATTATATCTCCTTATTAGGATAATATATAAATTAATGGCATTATCTTATTTAATAAAAATAATATTTCATAATTAAGATATTATCCCAATTAATTAATTGGCCAAATAAATTGATTCAATTAATAAATTTAAGGGATATTCTTCTTTTTCATGTGGCGTGCCATAATTGGAGACGAAAATATTTGCCCCCACGTGGCGTGCCTATTTTTGAGTGGTTGTTCCAGCTTAAATTTTGGAGCAAAAACAGAAAACCACATCCTCACTATGTGCCGGTCAATGTTGGCATATTCCAAATCTTAAAACACAATATGCTCATCATGACTTTAGAAAGACAAACAATTCCTACTTGCTAAACAGGTTAAAATTTCATAGGCTCCTCATGGATTGAATTCTAACTACAAACAAATTTCCAGATAACTAGTTGAATCAGTCAACGAGTTGATGATAATGTTGAAATGCGCAAAAGCAAAATTCCTAATTGGATTTTCTCAGAAAAAGCAAAATTCATTTTTGTGGGCTATATTTTGTCAAGGAAACTTGTGTTCCTTATCACAAACAGTGAAAAATAGATTGAATCAATATTCTATGAAGCAAAAACTTTTGAATTACCTTCACAGGAAAAGTGTCATGGCAAGCTCTAGTAAATTATCGTTTGTTTTCCCTATTTGAGAGCTACCAACAATTATCAACTGTGGATTAGACTGCATTCCCCAATTACACCTCAAAAAGCAGCATAGATATTACCTATCTTTCACTTGCACAAATGGAGGAAGCCTGCAATTGAAGAGCAGTGTAACTTTTGGGCGTGGATAAAAGGAGTTAACTAAAGCCAATTGAGATTCAAAGTATATGAGCGTGTTCTTCAAAGTATTGAAGCCTGTGAATTGAAATTCATATTAAAGCACGGGACATAAAGCCAATTGCCAATTATTTATTTGGGTAGTTGTTAATTAATTTAGAAAAGTGGAAAGTTTGCTAGGTTAGAATAAGGGTAAATCAGGAAAAATCTTATTAAAGTATTGTTTCTCTCTCATAGTAATGTCATCAAATAAATAAATAAAAATAAAGAATTAACTTTAGTTAAACCCATGGACATGTGTCAACTTTTGGGAGAAGCGGTGAGGGTACACCTAGGGTTAAAGCGATGAGGGTACACCTAGGGTTAAAGTGGTGAGCAAAAATGCACCCTTTCTTTTGGTTGCCATTCCTTCTAACATATCGCCCCTAAAATTGCAAACAAAAAAAAACAAAAAAAATCTATAAATTACATATCCAATAATGTACCTATAAAAAAATATTTATTTAAATAAAATATAGGTATATTATTTGTGATTTTTTTAAAGCAGCTTTTAAAAGCTGGGTTATCCTTGCTTTAAAAAAACAGCGATCATTGACCGCAATTTGAAAAAAAAAGTTGTTTCTTGATGTTTACCACCATATAGTTTGGAAATTTTTTATTAAAGCAGCTTTTAAAAGCTGGGTTATCCATACAGGGATATCACTGGTTAGTCTTTTAAAAACTATTTGAATAACTGACCAGTGATAACCCAGCTTTTAAAAGCTACTTTTAAGAAAATTAGCTTTTCAGTAATCAGTTGAATTCGATTTTCTTCTATGTTTTTGTTTTTTCTCCCCTTTTTAGTGTAGCAGTCAACGTCTACCCATTTGGTCGGGACTGGTAATGAAACCCATATGATTGTCTAAAAGGAAAAATGAGGGGTAAAAAAGAAGATGAACTTTTACTATAAAGGAAATAAAAACTAGATTCACAAGCGAATGCATGTGGAGAGGGACCAAGAATATTGCATTATTAACTAGACGTCACGCATGGCATGCTTTGCGTGTGGGAAAAAAGTTGCTTTTATAAAATATGAAAAATAGAAATTGTTGCGATGCATGTTTTGAGCATATAAAATGATAAGATTGCACAGAATAAAGCACAAATTGAATGTCAAAGAACCTAAAATGGAGTGGTATGAGCCGAGGATGACTTGCCAGAATTTTAAGGCGTATGTCCTTTTTCTGGGAGGTTGTTCTCGATTCTCGTGTGCTCTTTTTTCTCTGATGTGAGATTTTGAAAGACGATACAACGGATGATGATGAATTCAACATGAGCTTTGATGAGATTGAAAAAGATAAAAGAAAAAGGTACCTCAAGAACTGAACTATTTTCTGACAGCATATATTGATGAGATTTTCTATTTAAACTCTAGACTTCTCTTTGTTCACCCCATCTTCTAAGTTCACCCCAATTTCTAATTTAAATTTTCACAATTTCTAAGAAAACCCCGTTATCTTCCCAAACTACCCTTAAATAAACCCCAAGTTGAAAAAATAAAAAATAAAAGAGTCTTTCTATTTAAACCCCACTATCTCCTTATTACAAACTATAGAAAAAAAGCATATATCTAAACTAAATAGTGGGGGAAAAGATGAAGAAGGCCCTTATTTTTTGAGAAGAAGATGAAGGTCCTAGACTAAATAAAGATTTCTAAATTAGAAATTAAATAAGGAGATATTTATTTGCATTGTAGATAAAAAAGTGCAACTTACCTTGGTAAGAACAAATTTCACTTACACGAAGATACAATAATCATCTACTATTTACTTACACAACGGTACAATAATCTTCTACTGTTTACAAATTTAAAGTGCATATGTTTCGTACCACAAAATGAATATTTTGAAGTGGAATATTCGTTGCAATAAACTAACTCCAGGACATAACTCTTAATAAATTCGTTGCAATAATTTAGACACAAAGCATACCTTTCTTTCCAATAAAGGGTTTAGGATTAAGTACCCATGTTTTTACTACGCTAGAGGATTTTGTATTTTTTTAAAACTTAATATAAAAGTTATGGGGTGTGTGGAGTGTGTGTATAGATGTATTAGGTTTAAGTATTAAGTTGAATGACCTTTTTTTGTCTTTTTACACAATAATAATACTTACAGCTTAATGATTTAAATACTGGGGTGAACAAAGAGAAGTGTGAGGTTTAAATAGAAAATCTCTATATTGATTAACAGTTTTTTATACGCATTTTAGTGTGTTGTATTTGTATAATTCAAAAATATATATAATGCTCCAATCACGCAATTAAATCTGTAAATTTAAAGACAGGAGATGTGAAAATCAAACTCTTGTCGTGGCCACAATTTATTAAGGATTCATATTAGTACACATCTTACAAACGCCACACAACATAACTTGGAGAAACAATGTGATCCAAGGGCAGAACACAACCTTGTAATTAGTCCCACCAGGACAAGTAAAAGTGCTAGTTGGATCATCTTTAGGGTAACTATAAGCATCCCTACACCGATCCTCAAAAAACTTGGATAAATTTGTAGACCCACATCTCCCCGAATTGCAACAATACTTGTCAGTTTTGTACACAGTGCAAGGGTTGTGAAAGACACCTGGAGCCTTCAACTCATTAGGGCACTGCGTTTTTATATCTTGAGCACATCTGATCCCCCTGGTGCACGCATTAGACGTGGGACTAAATTCCATTGGAACATTGAACCCATCTACAAGTGAAATGTCGAAAAAGTCTTTGTTGCCAAATTGGTTTAGAGCATACTCGGCTAGGGTGTTTGGGGGTGAACCATAGGCTTGGCATTGGAGGAGTCCTCCGCAGTCGCCGGTTTGGCACCGGCCATGACCTGAGTTGTTGAAGGCACAATTGGTTCGGGCCCACATTTAGCGTCCATGTTTCAGGCCTTATGTTATCATTATTAGGGTTCTCACGGAAAGCATGTAGCGGGAAGAACCCTCTGTAGGCAAACCTGTTGATGGTGTCCCATAAATTTAAGGGAGTTTCACTAAAACACCCAAAATGAGGGCTGAAATTATAAAAAAACCCAACACCCAAAACACTTTATAAACACACCCAAAACCCATCATTACACACACTCAAAACACATTTATAAACACACCCAAAAAATATACAATTGTTGATTTTGAGGTTAATTTTGGGTGTGTTTCTATGTTTAAATAGTGTTTGGGTTTTTTTATAAATACATGTTTAGGATTGGGTTTATTTATAAATTTGTATAAATTTAATCTATACATTTTAATTGGAATGACAAATATGAAAAAGGAAATGTAGTGTATTCGTGACATGCTTATATGGTGTATCTAATACATGTACTCAAAATGTTTATGATTTAGATGTTGATAATAGCACATGCTTTATAATTTTGATGTATTTGCTACACCATATTATGCCACGTAATGCATAAAAAACACACAATAAAATAAAAAGTTATAAATGAGGAAACATTATTCAATAGAGTTCCATTGTTGAAATTTTTTTTAAAAATTAATTATGAGACTTAGTAGAAAAACACAATCAAACTAGAGAGACCAAAATCATCATTTTATGAAAGAGAATATTGTTATTAGTAGTCTAAGATAATCGTTAATAAGGATTTGTAGCTCAAACTGTTAAGCGCAGTTATGCATATATCCTAGGTCAAGTGCTTGATTACCCCTTTCCTAATATTCCTTGTGTTAAAAAAAAAATTGTAGTCGTCATGAACTTTCTTTATTAAAAAAAATAAAGAAAATAGAGTTTAGGATGACTATTTTAGAGTGAAAAGAGAAAAAATTAACATTAAATTGTGCCCAACTGGAGTACACGTACAACCAGGGGCGGTCCTACCCTAAGGTCAGGGTAGGCAACCGCCTACTCCATTTTTTGTCAAACTAAAAATTACCCAATACTCAATACAATCAAATTTTTTCTGCCTACTCAAACCTAATCCACCAGGGGTGCTCCTACCCTAATAACAGGGTAGGTAGCAGCTACTCCATTTTTTGCCAAACTAAAAATTACCCAATACCCAATACCCAATACCCAATACAATTAAATTTCTTCTGCCTACTCAAACTCAACCCACCAGGGGCGGTCCTACCCTAAGAGCAGGGTAGGCAGCGGCTACTCCATTTTTCGCCAAACCAAAAATTACCCAATACCCAATACAATCAAATTTCTTCTGTCTACTCAAACCCAACCCACTCAAAATTTTCCCTTTAACAAAAACAATAGCCTAGCACACTCAAACTTTCTCCTTTAACAAAAACAATAAAAAGCAATATAAGCATGTGAAAGATATTAAAGTTGTATGGAGATTTTTTTTTATTACAAAAAAGGTGGCAGGAGTGTCACCTCTCAGAGCCAGGCACGGATTAAGGGAAAGCTCTCCCCAAGAGGTTCGTTACACATGCGGAGGATCGAACCCGGGACCTCATTGAGGAGCCCGATCACATTCGCCCAACATGTGTGGCCTAGCCCGTTTAATTTTCCACTGTACCAAACCCACTTAGGTATGGAGATTTTTTTTAACATTGACTAACATTGTGAATTTTGTTAGTACTTCTACTAAGCATCGTAATGAGTTAAATTTAATTCGAAAAGCTGAACTCAAAGAGTTGTTGGATTATGGGGAACTTGAGACAAGTAGAAGACTTAATCAAGGTCATAGTTTGAAACGAGCTGGAGCCACTTGTTGGGGATCTCACTTTGCCTCTATTACAAGTTTGATGAGTTTATTTAAAAAGACTAAAATACTTCTCCAGGGAATAAGTGATTATAGACCTAACCAACAATTTCGTGGCGATGCAGAGAGTAACTATATTGTTATGATGTCTTTTGAATTTGTGTTTTCATTGATTTTGATGGATAAAATTATGGGATTGACCAACTTTCTTTGTCAAGTGTTTTAGACAAAAACTCAAGATATTGTAAGTGCTTTAAACTTTGTTGACAACACAAAATCACAGTTCCAAGATATGAGGCACATGACTGGGATGATTTATTCATAAGTGTGGTATCATTTTGTGAGCAACATGGTATTGATGTTCCTGATATGAGTTCTCGTTATATGAGTCCCTACCATAGGAATGAGGAAACCCGTAGAGTGATAACTCTTCTTTATTATATATTGTAAATATCTCTTCCTTCCTTCCAAATAATATTTTTCTTAGAAGTCAGTGAATCGTAAAATGACTTGTATAAAATTATTGTTATATTGCTGCTTTCCACTTACCCGGTTCCCCACGCAGCAAATGGTTACGTTCGGGGTCGATCATATAGATCGACACAAAAAATAATTATTTTAACGAATCGTGCCGCCGAACAAACCACACCCTAACCACATAAAGCCAGAAAATTAGTGGTCGTTTTTGTCAACAAAAAGATTTTATTATAGTTGAACATTACTATCGCATTGATGTATTTAATGATATGATAGATTGCATGTTAAGGGAGTTAAATGACAGATTTCCAAAGCAAATAGTTAAACTTTTTATTCTTAACTCAATATTGGATTCTCGTAATTCCTTAAAATCATTAAATATTGGGCATCTATGTAAACTTGCTGAGAAATTCTATCATGCTGATTTCAGTCCAAATGACTTGAAAAGCTTTAGAAATTGAGTTTAGGTATTTTCAAAATGATATGCATTGCCTTCCATGCTTTAAGGACCTCACCACTCTTCCTCAGTTATGTCAACAATTGGTTGAAACAACTTTGGCAAAAAACTACCATTTGTTTTACAGGTTGATTCAATTGGTGTTGACTCTTCCTGTTTTTACAGCAACAACATAACGAGCTTTTTCATGTATGAGAATTATTAAGAATAAACTTTGGAGCACTGTAGCTGATGAATTCCTTACTGATTGTATGATTCTCCACATTGAAAGAGAGTTTGTTAATAATATCGATAATGAAGAGATAATTGAGGAATTTAAGATTTCTAAGCCTTGTAGGGTAAAGTTTTAGATTTAAATAGTTTAGTTTTGTGTTACATTGCATTTACTTCTTCTTCTTCTTCTTCTTTTTCTTTTTTGTTAAGCTTTTATTTATATATAGATATGCATATTTGATGGTAAGGCTCATTATGTCTCCCTTGACTAGGTGTATCTTTTTATTTTTATGAATAAAATTCACTTGTTCATCTTTGACGTTAATTATGATGACTGAACTCAAGTGTGAGAGTACAAGTACTTTGTGCTACATAATGCACACCATTACATGTGCTGATGACAAAGCCCTTAGACCATAATTTTATTTCATCACAGACTTATTCACAGATATTATAAACTAGAAGATGTATCTGCTTCTTCATGGGCAGAACACAACCCTATAGTTGGTCCCGCCAGGGCATGTAAATGTGCTCGTTGGATCATCCTTCAGGTAGCTATAAGCACTCGGGCACCGATCCTTAAAAAACCTAGACAAGTCTGTTGGGCCACAGCTCCCAGAATTGCAGCAATATTGATCAGTCCTGAACACAGTGCAAGGGTTGTTGCAGCCCCCTTGAGCCCTCAGTTGGTTAGGACACTGCCCATTAATATCAGCGGTACATCTGATGCCCTTGGTGCACCCATTAGATGTGGGGCTAAAGTCCATAGGGACGTTGAAGCCATCCACAAGGGAAATGTCAAAGAAATCCAAGTAGTTGTACTGGTTAAGGGCATACTCAGCTAGGGTGTTTTAGGGTTGGCCATAGGCTTGGCATTGGAGGACACACCCACAATCACCTGTTGACATCTCCCACGTCCGGCTCCATCAAAGCTGCATCCGGTTTGGGCCCAAATGCGAGCCCCTTGGGTTCCGGCACGCACATCTAGGGCCCAACTTTGGCCTCTATTAAGTTGGCGTCCGCCGCCTAGGGTGGCTGATGCCCAGACTGTGAAGGGGCACTTGTTTCATATATCGAATCCTCCCACGTCCGGCTCCATCAAAGCTGCATCCGGTTCGGGCCCAAATGCGAGCCCCTTGGGTTCCGGCATGCACATCTAGGGCCCAACTTTGGCCTCTATTAAGTTGGCGTCTGCCGCCTGGGGTGGCTATTGCCCAGACTGTGAAGGGGCAGTTGTTTCATATATCGAATCGAGCTGCATTGGTTGATGTAAAGAAGAGAGTGGCACATAGGATGCAGAAGGCTGGGAGGTTCTTGAGGATGCTCATAATGCAATTTGTTTTTTTTTATGCATTTGTTGCTAAGGTTTCTTAAGCTTATATAGAGCGGGGCATGGTGACATATATGACATATTATAAATATGAAAAGGACGTCACTTTCTTAGCCCATTGTTCCACGCATGGAAATAGGACCAATATTTCTTCTTTTTTTCACAAGATCAGAAAAAGTTATGAGAGACTTTTTCCACGGGGAGTAGGTAATGTCGCACATGTAATTTTATTTTACAAATTAAGTCAGTTATGCGACAAGATGTGATTAAGCAAAAATTGTGTAACGAAAAACACCATTAAATACAATATTAGAACATATTCTAAATTTGAATTCCGCATTATTAATAAACGGAAAATATAGTTCAAGATTGCTAACATAGCTATTCATTAACCACCAAAGAGGAGGTGCAAAGAGTTTGTAGTTTAAGTAGTTAAATGCATTACCCTTGCATCGAGATCCTAGGTTCGATTTCCTCTCCTTCAATACAATATCGCATGTCTCAGACACACGCCCCAAAAACCAAAGACAAGTTAGATTTTCTAAGTTTAAATCTTCTTTAAATGTCACAATTGATTTAGAAAAAGAAAAAAGGTGAAAATTGACCAAGTTTCGACATGGTGTGGTTTACTTCGACTTGTACAAGTTGATGAAGTTAGTCAGCCAGCTTTAGGATCCACTCACTCCCTTAATTAGTTTGGTGAGCTTAGTTTTAGAGTTGGAGTATACTTGGGCTGGCTATGAACGTACAGCTCTACCTACTCTTTCCACCACATAATTAAGGGACAGGACATTAATTGACCTGACTAAATTAAGGAGCACTAAGCAGGCAGTATCGATGGGAATTATCCAACTAGCAATAACAAGTCTCAATAAAGAGCCAAGAAACTTCTCACCATTAGACTTGCACCGGTCCATATACGGCATCTCAAAGAGATAAAAAATAAAAACTTGCATCCTGTTTATGAAACGACTTTCTCACATGTGTTATATTATGTGAGTGGCACATAAAGTTAAGTTTACACCATAATCAATCAAGCATATCCAGTATCAAAGCGACCAGCACCAAGGCAGACATGCCTTCTTCCCTGTTGAAGGAAGACACTCTTTTGAGGTGCCAGACATCTGCCGAAGCTCCCGACTACCGAAACTCCCAATTGCCGAACCTAATCCCCAAGACACGTATCACCACCACAGCGACTTGCACAAAGTCCCACATCGAAACTTTGTGCAAACCTCTCACTTTCACTTCCTTATAAATAAGGAACAGTACCCAAGTAAAAAGGGTAACTATTTTCTCACTTTTACTGTTACTCTGTCAAATTTACCACTTATAGCTGACTTAAGCATCGAAGAGCCTTCGGCTGGCATCACACCGGTGTCCGAAGCTTGACGACTGCTTCTTTTACTTTGTCTTCTACAGGCTCCTCCCTTACCGAAGGTCCTCACCTTTTCCCCTACTAAAGACTATCTACTTCTATCTAAGTTGGCCTCCCAAAAAGAGCATCAACAAGTTACAAGTGAGGGAGTCATTTCACCAAACGGATGTTTGCAAATTTTTCTTTTTTTTTAAGGAGGATATTCCAATATATTGTTCTATGGCTTGCCTTTATGGTCCCATACAATTCTACTCTATCATCATTAGTTGGCTATAGGTCTATAAACAAGTTTAGTAATGCCGTTGGAAAAAGGGAAAAGGCCAATGGTGTTGGTTTTTTGTGTTGGAAACTTTATAGTGCGTTTATAATTTCAGCCCCTATCCACTGTCCACAACCACAATGTCCTCTCCACAATAATTATTAGTTATTGTAGATAACCACTGATCAACATCGACAAAAGTCTCAACAAAGATAAGAGAAATTCTAGCTCTTGTCGGACATGCGCAAATTTAATCAAATGGCACTAAAGGACTAGTGTGTCCCAGGCAGCCCAACACCTTTTTTTATTTTTTTTTATTTTTTAAAATTTATTAATATATAATACATATACATATATATTAATGTATTTCACAACACCTTTAGTGCTGGTTTGGCGTTGCTTATTTGGGGAGATAAGTGATTTTTAAATAATTTTGGGAAGCCTAACCCGTTTGGTAATAAACTATGAGAAAATCACTTATATTGTTAAAAATTGTTGTGAGAGAAAGCTATAAGGGAAAGCAGCTAATTGTTGAGGCCCAAAAAATCCACGGTTCGGCCCAAATGAATTCTCGGCCCATCACAATACCTTATTAAGAAAAGACCCAATTTGGAGCACGCAAAAGTTCGTTATTCACGTTTGCACGAGTCATGATCCACATGCCATGCCAAATAAATATGCAATTTGTCATGCTAAAAATTGAAATGAGCCTATAAAGGGCACTAGCTCTACAAGCCCATGTTAAATTGAATGTCCTGTCCCTCTTCAGGGACAATAAAATTAAAGCATGCCAAGTGACATGCCATGCCAAGCAGGAAATCATTATCTCACACTCAACCAAGCTAACAAGCCTAACTAGGCCCAAGTCACTTAAATGTCCGAGGCTTGCTTGAGTGGGTTGTGGTATGGATGGTAATAAGTTGACATGAGACCCATTGATGGGTCGAGAAATGGAAGTCCTGGGGTTGCTTGGGAGCCTCGGAACTCAAGCTCATTTCTTAGGCCCAAACATGTGGGTGAGCACAAAAGAGAAAATAGTCCATCACTCCAACCAAAAAAGCCCATCACTTCAACCAAACTAGCCCAATACTTGATGAAGTTAGCCTATTTGTTTGATAAATCAACTTGTTGTCTTAGAAGGCCCATACAATTGCAATAAGGAGCTGCAAAAGCCCCACCACTTGGCTGGAGAACAAAAAGCCATGAAGGGAAGTCTGGAGGTCCACTATGCAGAGCTGCTGGAAATCTCCAGCACATGGGAAGCAACAAGTTTCAAGCAAAAAGCATCCAAGGTACCAAGGGGATATTGAGCACCCAAAAATCCCTGATTTTGTGCAAATGAGCAGAGAGATTTTTACCATTATAAGATAAGTCAAAAGAAGGGAGGAGAAAAGAAGGAAAAAACTTGGCAAAATTTGATAGAAACCATTAGGGTTTCTTAGAAAATGATAGCTTTCAGCGGCTATAAATAAGGCATCTTCTACCCAACCAAAAAACAACCTACATCTGGAGAGCAAGCTTAATCTCTCACCTCTTAAACCTCTGCAATTTCGAGCCTCATCCTTCCATCTCTTCCCATTTTCCCTTTTGGTAAACTTTTCCAAAGCTTGACAGAGTTTTCGTCTAGCTGCCAGAAACTACCCAGCACACCCACTACTTCATCATTAGCTAAAACAACCACATCTAGAGAGCAAGCTTCCTCCCTCACCTGCAAAACCCAGCAAATTCGTGCTCTATTCATCCTTTTTCCTCCAAGAACGCATAACTTTCTCTTCAGTGCTAAACTCATGTTAATTTTGCTTCCATGCCACAAGCCTCTCATGCCAAGCTAGAAAATCTATATGTAAGCTGTTGTTATTTTTGTTGGTGAAGGTAACCAAGGTGTTTCCTAAGGCATCTCTGTCCTTTCGAAACATTTTTTAGGCTTGATCTTCGAACTCAGGCTCAAGGGGCAATTTCATCCATTTTGCTATTTACAGCAGCTTAGACACGTAGTAGCTGCCGGAACAAAAAAGCCCCTACATAAATTGGCGACTCTACTGGAGATCAGGCTGTTATCTTCACTAATGCCTCCAAGGAAGAAGGCCAAAAACAATAAACCAGAGAAAATAAAAAGATAAGAACATTTCCTCTTGCCTTTTTTCCTTTATTCGGTATCCACTTTACAAAACAAGCATAATAAGAGTTACTGACATGTGCCTTTTGCTTGTGTCTTAAATCTCCATTCTCAAGCAAAACCAGATCTTGTACGAGGTTTGGGGGCTTAGGCAAATCCATCATTCATGCCATTGAAGCGAACTACGCATGCAAACTCCAAAATACTTGGGGGCTTCGTGCCAAGCCAATCTGTAATAAATAAATAAAATAAAAAAAAAAAAAAGAACCTCATGATTTCGAGCTGTGATTCAACATTATTCACATCTTCAACCAAGTCCAAGCTATATACATTCATTCATCACTATTTCCACCACTTGCCTTATTTTTTTTCAAACCTTCTTAGCCTCTACCCGATTTCAATCCATCCTTACAACAATTAAACAACCTCATTGCACCTCTAAAAGAACACTTGAAGTGACCTCAACGACTAGCTTGTTCTTCTTGTGCTTTGGAACCTCTAAATCAAGTCTGAAAAAAGATATAGACGCTGGAGAGGTACTCATGAAAAAAAAACAAAACAAAAAAACAAAAAAAAACAGAGGTGCCAGAAGAATATTTTCTTACATTCTTCCAGCTCCTACTCTACAAGCAAAGAATTTCTGGCACTTACCTTATTTCAAATCTTCTTAGCCCCTGTCCTATTTCAAACATCATGCTAGTGTAGATGCTCCTTAACCCCCAAAGCTCGATTTATCCTTGCAACAATTCAACAAACTCATTACATCTGTGAAAGTAATCAAAAACTCACCTTTATTCTATCAAGTTCCCAGCAAATCAGTAAGAAGATGGCATTCCTCATGCTTTGGAACCTCTCAATCAAGCCTAAAAAAGGAACAAGGGAGTACGTTGGCCAGATCAAGTGCCAGAAGGGAACTCGTAAATGAAAAGGGGGTGCTTGGCACTAGAATGGGTGGATGATCCTTAATTTTGGATATGTTATAAACAACATAATTTAAGCAAATTCTGTGAAGCAAGCGCAATCATCCAAGCATCATAAGTTAAAGACACATACAGAAGCAGAATCTACAGAAACTCACCAGCCATTGATAAATGCAGAAGTTGCAGACCAGCTTTGAGGTATCAGAAAAATTCTACAAATTTTACAAGTTATAGTACTCGAGCAGATGAACAACTTTCATCAAGAAAGTTTTCTAATCCGAGCTTCCAAAATATGACTTATGTACTGATGCACAATACCCACGAGTATGGGTCTTGAAGAAGAAGAAGAAAGAAGAGAATGAGAGAAAACCAGAAAATAAATCATGCCAAGCCAAGTCACGTTCTTCCAACACATGCCCTATTCCATGTCAAACAAAACATTTTTCAGCACCCGCCCTGTTTCAAATATCCTTCCAGCACCCGCCCTGTTTCAAATATCCTTCCAGCACATGCCCTATTTCAAATATCCTTCCAGCACCTGTTTCAAACATCCTTCTAGCACATGCCCTATTTCAAACACCCTGCTAGCACCTCCTCTATTTCAAATATCCTTTCAGTACATGTCAATGCCAAACATCCAAGCATACAAGCCAAAATCAAGCGTACACGCCAATGCCAAGCATCCAAGCATACAAGCCAAAATCAAGCATACATGTCAATGCTAAGCATCAAACCAAATACCGATAATACATGCCAATACCAAATATACACGTCAAAACCAAGTCAATGCAACTCTTGCAAACCACAATCATGCAAAATCAAGCCTCTCTAGTCACTCAAGCAAATAAATCACGCAAGCTAAGTAGTTATCTCGAGCTAATCCACCAAGCATTTTCTTCTATATCATGCCACAAAATAGGTCAACTCTTGGTAACTCTAGTAAGTGACCTCCAAAATTACAATGTCTAGGAAAGTTCTTCAAGGAAACACCCTCGGTGTTTAAGAAGGATTGGGTTTTAAGCGGGACCATTGCGACCCCTCCAACCTTCCCCGAAAAAACCTGGCTGTAATTTCAAAGACACTTAACTAGTCATCCTTGAGTTGTTCCTAAACCCATGCCATGCCACTGCCATTATTTTGGGGTGTAATTTCAAAGACACTTAACTAGTCATCCTTGAGTTGTTCCTAAACCCATGCCATGCCACTGCCATTATTTTGGGGTTGAAAATTGATTATTTGGACCATTTCAATACACATTCATGGCCCCAATAATCAAGGGAGCTAGGCCCAAAAAATTCACGGTTTGGCCCAGAGCAATACCTTATTAAGAAAAGACTCAATTTGGAGCACGCAAAAGTTCATTATTCACGTTCGCACAAGTCATGATCCACATGCTATGCCAAATAAATATGCAATTCGTCATGCTAAAAATTGAAATGAGCCTATAAAAGGCACTGGCTCTACAATCCCATGCTAAATTGAATGTCCTGTCCCTTTTCAGGGATGATAAAATTAAGGGAGTTTCACTAAAACACCCAAAATGGGGGCTGAACTTATAAAAAAACCCAACACCCAAAACACTTTATAAATACACCCAAAACCCATCATTACACACACTCAAAACCCATTTATAAACACACCCAAAAAATATACAATTGTTGATTTTGGGTGTGTTTCTATGTTTAAATAGTGTTTGGGTTTTTTTATAAATACATGTCTAGGATTGGGTTTATTTATAAATTTGTATAAAATTAAAGCATGCCAAGCAGGAAATCATTATTTCACACCCAACCAGGCTAACAAGCCTAAGTGGGCCCAAGTCACTCAAATGCCTAGGGCTTGCTTGAGTGGGTTGTGGTATGGATGGTAATAAGTTGACATGAGACCCATTGATGGGTCGAGAAATGGAAGTCTCGGGGTTGCTTGGGAGCCTCGGAACTCAAGCCCATTTCTTATGCCCAAACATGTGGGTGAACACAAAAGAGAAAATAGCCCATCACTCCAACCAAAATAGCCCATCATTTCAACCAAATTAGCCCAATACTTGATGAAGTTAGCCCATTTGTTTGATAAATCAACTTGTTGTCTTAAAAGGCCCATACAATTACAATAAGGAGCTACAAAAGCCCCCCACTTGGCTGGAGAACAAAAAGCCATGAAGGGAAGTCTGGAGGTCCACTATGCAAGGCTGCTGGAAATCTCCAGCACATGGGAAGGAACAAGTTTCAAGCAAAAAGCATCCAAGGGACCAAGGGATATTGGCGCGTAACTTGCTAGGAGGGGAATCACCCTTTGAACCAGCATGCATACCCATTTCTTTCCCTCATCAGACCTGGCCATGGAAGGAGGAAGGAAAGAAAAAGGGAACAAGCTGAGAATGGGAGTCTCCCACTGAAACAGTTGTAGGAAAGGGCCTTGAGCACCCAAAAATCCCTGATTTTGTGCAAATGGGCAGAGAGATTTTTACCATTATAAGATAAGTCAAAAGAAGGGAGGAGAAAAGAAGGAAGAAGTTTGGCCAAATTGGATAGAAACCATTAGGGTTTCTTAGAAAATGATAGCTCCCAGCGGCTATAAATAAGGCATCTTCTACCCAACCAAAAAACAAAATACATCTGGAGAGCAAGCTTTATCTTTCACCTCTTAAACCTCTGCAATTTCAAGCCTCATCCTTCCATCTCTTCCCATTTTCCCTTTAGATAAACTTTTCCAAAGCTTGACAGAGTTTTCGTCGAGCTGCCAGAAACTACCCAGCACACCCACTACTTCATCATTAACTAAAACAACCACATCCAAATAGCAAGCTTCCTCTCTCACCTGAAAAACCCAGCAAATTCATGCTCTATTCATCCTTTTTCCCCCAAGAAAGCAAAACTTTCTCTTCAGTGCTAAACTCATGTCAATTTTGCTTCCATGCCACAAGCCTCTCATGTCAAGCTAGAAAATTTATTTGTAAGTTGTTGTTATTTTTGTTGGTGAAGGTAACCAAGGTGTTTCCTAAGGCATCTCTGTCCTTTCGAAACATTTTTGGGGCTTGATCTTCGAACTCATGCTCAAGGTGCAATTTCATCCATTTTGCTATTTACGGCAACTCAGGCCCGTAGTAGCTGCCGGAACGAAAAAGCCCCTACACTAATGAGGTGCTTTTATTTTCTGATTATGTGGGAATCAGTTTCAAAGAGGCACTGGGATCACGTTTAACGTCCATCAAACCTTTACTCCAAATTCGGTGGAGTAGTAGAGAGGATGAGGGATGATGAGGAGGAGGAGGAAGAAGAAAGTGATGTAAGTAGCGTTTGATGAAAAAGACTCATTTTGGCGGTTGGGTTATTTATAGTGTTTGAGCTTGTGTAGGGTTTTATATAAATAGGGTTTGCCATTTTGGGTTGGTGTCGTTTCTTGTGAGGTGTGATTATGTGGTTGACATTCAGTACACAAAACTAATAAAGAGGTGATATTTTCTTTTTTTTTATGAAACAGGGGGGAAAGAACCCCAAAACCCAAAACCAACAGCTACACAACTCAAACCATACGAGGGTGACAAACTCCTAAAGAGTCATCAATAAAAATAGAACCAAGACAATTAGGTGCCTCATCTAAAAACCAAACAACCAACCCCATATTATAGCTCAATTTAGCAAGGCAATCAGCAGCAAAATTCTTCTCCTGAAAAATATGATGCACCTTCACACAATCCAGTTGAGTCCACATCTCTCTATAACAATCCAGTAACCCAGCAAAGGGATGAACCTCAAGACTTTCCTTGCATTGAATAAGCCTGACAGTAGTGGCTGAATCCATTTCAACCAAAAGCTTCTTTACACCTTTCCCAATTGCTAGTTTAAGGCCAAAGAACAATCCCCAAAGCTCAGCTTCTAAAATCTGGTTCTGCCCCAGATTAACTACAAAACCACCATGCCAAATCCCAACGAAGTCTCGGATCAAACCCCCAGCCCCAATAGCACCTGACATACCCCTTCTAGAGCCATCCACATTCAATTTCAACCAGTTAGAGATAGGAGGTTCCCAAGACAGAACTTGTTGCTCCTTAATTTCCTGGTTTTTAGTCCCATCGAAAGCTTTAAACCACTCAAAAACTACAACAACAATAATTTGAATGGGCTGCAAAGGTAGGCTATCATCCCCACTAAAAATATGTTGATTTCTCCATTTCCATAAGTACCAGTAAGTAAAAACAAACACATCAATCCAAGGGAAGCAGCCATACCATTTCACTGAAGAACATAGATTGCTCATAAGCCAAGGCTTAAAATCAACCTCAAAAAACTTACTAAACTGACTAGGAATGAGAAATTGACTCCAGAATTCCTTAGCTTTCGAACAATCCCTCAGAATATGTAAAGCATCTTCATTGTACCATCCACTATAACTACAAGAAGAATCAGAAGAAAGCCTCCTTTTAACACGCTGAGCATTAGACATGATTTTTTCATGATATACCAACCATAAAAAAACTATAGTTTAACAACAAATTGAATTCAACAAATATCTGGTCATATTTTGTGCGTTCTCAACACAAACACTTTACTCTCTGTGTGTGTGCGTTTTTTTTTACTAATAGATGGAGTTCCACTTTCATTGTTTGATGGTGGGCTTGGTTTTGGACGTGGGGTTGGGTTGGAAAAGAAAAAATAAAACAAAGAAAATGTAAAATTTTACATATATGATGCGTTTGGCACTCGTATAGAGACAGAGATTGGTCTTGCAAGAGGTGTTATTACGTGTTTGACATTTGGTAGAAAAATTTGAGAGAGATATGATGTTCGTATATGTGGCTTTACGTTTAAAGATGAGTTTTGGCTTGACGTGATCGATGAAGGTACATCAAGATTGTATTGGGCCGAAATGGAGTCCACCTACAAGCCCATATCCAATTCACGAATTCAAACGTTTCCTACCCTCCAAAACGCGATGAAACAACCGCCGTTGGATCACCGTCCGTTGGTTGATCAAACTTCCAACGCAATCTACTTCTTGAAAACGCTTCAAATACAACACCAAAGCTTCCTTCTTGGCCATCAGCTTCCAGCGTAAGCTACTTCTCCAAAACGCTTAAATAAATACAACCACAAATCCTCTCTCTCTCTCTCTCTCTCTCACTCACTCAATCATTTCTGACTTTTCTCTCTCAGAAAAGAGAGCTGAGAGAGCTGACCACTGAGAAAACAAACAAAAACCGCTTTCGCTTCCACTCGCTCAGAATCAGAAGCTCCCAACTTTCCCGCCAAAAGTCCTGCCCTTCGCATTTCACACTGCCCTTGCTTAAAACGAGCTCGGTACTCTTTCTGCTTTCTGTAATTTTGGCGGTTAGATTCTCACACACTCAGAAACCCTCGAAGCTTTCTTTTTCAAGGTTCGGATTTTAATTTTGTGGTTTTAAGTTTCTTGCATTATCCTTATTTTTTTGTTTGCTTTGGTTCGATTATGTGATTCATTGTGTAATTGGTGATGGTTCATTTTGCAATTCGTTGAAATTTCTGCTGCTCTGTTTGGTTGGTGAGAAAATGTGGGAAAATATGAGAAAAAATTGTCGCTTTTTCATTATACTCACTCAAATTACTGGCTTTGATGCAATTGTGAGATCAATTTGCGCTTTTAGTTTTCCTTCAATTAGTTTGTTTTCTCAGGAACCAAACAGAATGTTGAATTTTCTAGTACGATCAAAACTTTAACTTTAACTGATTTAGGGCTTGTTTTCTGCTTGTGATATGTTCAAGGTTGAGGAAAACTGATTTTTCTAAGAGATCATGGCGAAAGTGAAAAAGGAGCAGCTGCAGGAGGTGGTTGTGGATCCATACGAGAAAATGGGTTTCCTTTTGCAAGCATTATATGAAACTGAAGGCTGTTTTGACTCCCCTGCGTCCAAGCCAAGCTCTGCTACTCGGTATGTTGCTTCAATTAACTTTTTACATGAAAGGGGCATAATGGCATCTGATTCTTCAATTATCCTTTTTCCTCATATTACTTGGTTATGCCTTATCGCCATTTGAGTTAATTTTTTCTTTGGTCATGAGTTTTCTGGTTTTGGGTAAATGCTTAATTTGATATTTTACTGCGATGAATGGTCTGCTTTGCTGTTCTAGGAGAGCCACTGGTCCAATGAGACGGTCAGCGAAATGCTGGACAGAGGAAGAGGTCAGTAGTGAAAATTCCTTAGTTTGGTAGTTCTGTAATGCTAGTTTAGCTTGTAAGTTTTAGATACATTGTTAATGAAGAAGGAAATACTGAAGTTCTTATATTTATAATGTTGGTTTAGCCTACGTGGAGGCTTTATTTTAGTCTCCTCAGCTGCTCAGAAATTAATCACTTTATTAATCAATTGCCTTGTTGTTATGGCAGGACGATCTTCTAGGAGAGCTGGTCAGAAAGTTTAACAAGAGTAATTGGAAGGAAATAGGTGGGCATGCCACTGTCTTTCTGTTGGTTTTCAGAAGTGTGCTTTTAGTTTTATGAAAGTTGCCTGATGCAAAGTTTGTGATTTGATTGCTTCCTTATGTCCTGCAGCTGCATGTCTCCCTGGGCGCACAGATGTTCAGTGCCTGCAGCGCTGGCAAAAGGTTCTAAATCCTGAAATTGTGAAGGGACCCTGGACAAAGGAGGTGCAAACATAACACTCTTGCATGCTTTTATAACAATGGGGAAATCATGCTTTTACTTTATGCTAAACTGATATGTGATCATGGTTTATTTGTTCCCTTATCTGGATTTCAGGAAGACGACTGCATAATCAAACAAGTTGAGAGTCATGGTGCTAAAAGATGGTCTGTTATTGCAAAGTTCTTACCAGGTCGAATGGGCAAGCAATGCCGAGAAAGGTAGGCAGCAACGATTTCTAGTCAGTGCATCAAACTTTTGGCATCAAGTACCATTCAATCAACATATGTTCTGCAAATCAATGGTTCACATCCTTTGTGTTTTGTAATAGTTAGCTATGCAGATTATATACTAGACAATAATGAAGTTAATAATTACTTTCAGGTGGTACAATCACTTATGTCCGGCTATAAATAGAAATGCATGGACAGAAGAAGAGGAGTGGGTTCTTACTTACTACCACCAACTCTTTGGTAACAAGTGGGCAGAAATAGCCAGGTTTCTACCTGGAAGGTATGCAATAACTGAAAGCTGATGGGATGAAAGTATGATTTTGTGTTTTTTGGTATATGATGAATTCATTAATTGAAGACTGACCAACATATTTTGGGAACTTGAACATATATGTACATGGTTTTTTTTCGTGTGATTGTATGTGGTGCAAATGAGGTAAAAATCTGGATTATTTATCTCTTGTATAGGGATTAATATATTAAATTGGTCAAAATTTGGATTTTAGACATGCACTATTTGTGTACTATTTGCTGGTGAAGATACAGTATACTGTGAACATATATAAATCATTAATGATTGTGTAATTTATGTTTATTAACACAATTCAAATGGGGAGATTGGCTCCTTCTGTTGAATGCACTCACTCATCTCATCTGTATTGAAATTGGCAGGACTGACAATGCAATTAAAAATCACTGGAACTGCACACTAAAGAGAAAATTAGATTCATACTCACCTAATGGTTGTGATGTGGATATGCATCCTCATGTCTGGAACGGTGAATTAAGATCGGGCCATGTCGAGATTAACCCAGCCGGACAGATTTCTGATAGACTGGCCTCACTCAATCAGAGAACAGGGTTGGAGATTGGTGATAGCGCTTGCTCTACAAAGTTGACTCTTGGATGTTCTTATAGACATGAACTTTGTTCAGAATGGAAACCTGTCAAAGTGCAGAAATGCAGATCATCAGATAGAGGAGCAAATAGTTTGACAAATCTAATCACAAGTGGATCTTCCAAACACAGCCCTTTATCAGCCTCTTCATCGGTTTTCGTGGGTGCATCTGCTTCTACCAGGTCCTCCCCCCATGAGAGTCCATCCTGCTACTCTACACCCCAAAGCCGTGCACAGAATGTTAATGTGAATCTCAGCAGTGGCAGCAGTGGCAGCAGTGGCAGCAGTCCTGGGTCGAGACTGAAGAACTTGGCATTGAGCTTCAAAAATACTCCTTCCATCATAAGAAAGAGAAGTTCCAGAAGACCTGATGCTTCTTCAGCAGCCGTTAAATCTCTAGGAAGGTGCCTGGAACGTGAATTCGACGCTGAAAACCATTCAGGTGTTACTAAATGTGGCCAACTTTTCTCTGCATATGCTACTTCATCAGACGTTAACGTTGGTGCATAGGTTAACCTTGACACTTTTGGAGGAAGCCAAATTTCCACGGTTCAAATTTTTGCCCAAAATGGATGTGTGAAGGAGTTAATTTCTTTCATTTCAGTTGTTCAAACTCTCCCCCGTTCTAAGTAAGTAGTTGTAGTTTAGGTCACTTACGGTAGTGTGCTCGTACTTTGCATCCGAGTTCTATTCCACTCTTTGTACATTAGACTAGCTTGAAACATTGCTTTTTCAAATAAAAAATGTTCCTAAATCTAAAAGTCCTCTATCTCATTGCCCAAAAAGGAAAAGCCAAAATTCCCATATTTATTTATTAATTATCATTATATTCCAAAAAGATTTATCGGATACGATATTCGGCACGCCAACCAAACCCTGTCAAATTCGTTCGTTACAAACTTTACAAAAAAAATATCGCTTTCAAAATAAAAAATAAAAAATAAAAAGGAAAAGCAATTTAAGGAAAACAAAAATATCCAAAATTCGCTGGAAAAACAGAAATTGGATAGACCACGTCAGAGTCTAATCACACCCATTTCAAATCCGCAAACCTCGACCTCGCAAACTACCAATACCACCACTGGCACTGCGAGTATGAAACGCGCTTTACTCGCGCGACTGCAACCGTCACAGCTCCGCCATAACAGAAAAGGAAAGATCTATTAAAAACGCGCCAAGCAAAACAAACTGTACTGATTCCATATATTCTCTCTACTCACCTCAACTGAACTTCTCACCCTTTTCAATTTTTTTCTCATTTTTATCCTTTTTTTTTGTTTTTTTTTCGGTGTTTATCATCAATCACGTAATTCAATTATTCATTCTTATCCAATTCCCCAATCAACTGAATTTTCCCCCTTTTTCTTTTATATATATATAGTATAATAATCTCATAAATTCCAATTCAAATTCACATTTCTTCTTCCCTTTCTTGCTTATCCGAAATTCCCAAACGACCCTCCTTGATTCGCTCTCTCGCTCTCTCTCTCTCTCTCTCTCTCTCTCTCTGTGAGTTAGTTTGTGGTGAGTGTGTGAGGAGGAGGAGGCAAGAGCATGGGGTCTATGGAGCAGACGATTCTGGTGACCGGCGGGGCGGGGTTTATTGGGAGCCACACGGTGGTTCAGCTTCTCGAAGCAGGGTTTAGGGTTTCCATCCTTGATAATCTTGACAATTCCGTCATTGAAGCTGTTGATCGCGTTCGAGACTTGGTCGGCCCTAAGCTCTCTCAGAAGCTCCACTTTCATTTGGTATATCGCTATCCTCACTTTCACTTGTTCATTGGCTATGGCCGCTTCTCTTTTTCTTCTTTTTCTTGTCTTTTTGCTCTTTTTCTTGTTTAGTGGACTTGCTGCTTTGGCTTTACGCTGCTCTGTTTGGTTCCCTAGATAATTTTAAAATTGGAGTAGAAAATTTTGACTTCTTGATGCTCTGTTACTTATTTTGGGAATTAGAGTGGAAGGGAATTTTGGATTCCTGATACTGTGCTTCGTTTCTTGAAATTAAGTTGAAAATAGTTTTGCTCGGCTCAGTTGCTTTAGAATCGTCTCCAATTATTGCAATAAAATTCTTAGTTTCTTATAAGCCTAACACTGCGTTTTGTGTTTTCACTTTGGCCTCTTTCTCATTAATTCAATTCCTTATGCTTCTTTTTTTTTGGTTGCAGGGTGATCTCAGACATAAGGACGATTTGGAGAGGCTGTTTTCTCAAACAAAGTGAGTAATTTTGTTAATTGCATCATAGTATGTAATTACAACGTTCAAGTATTTGACTTTGCTGTTGGATTATAATGAGACAGATTTGATGCTGTGATCCACTTTGCTGGCCTGAAAGCTGTAGGAGAGAGTGTTGCTCACCCACGCCGTTATTATGACAATAATTTGGTTGGCACTATTAATCTCTATGAGGTCATGACAAAATACAACTGTAAAAAGGTTTGATCTCTCGACTTCTTTTTTTCTTTTTTTTCTCTTTTTCTGAGTTCTGCAGTTGGACCTCAAATTAGGTTCAGAGATTACTATTTTGTTTTCCATATGTTGGCAACCATGTGGAATGGAAACCAATGGAACTTGGACCAATGTTTTAAATGTTCCTTCTTTCCTCCATGTGCCTGTGCTGGCGATTGGTTTCTCTCACTGTCTCTTATGCCCCAGTAAAACTAAATAGAAGTAAGGACAAAGTGGATTATAAACATACTGATGTTCTGAATTATTGGCTTCATTATTTAGAGAAAAGAAACTTATTTATTTTCTTCTTTTCTAAAGTACTTCTGGCGTTCATTTACTGTTGAACCTTCATAGAGGAATTGAGCATCTGAACATTGAGACATTGATTTTGTAAAATGTTCCCATGTTTCCCCCTACTAACATGATGAATATGATGTTGTGTGAGTGTAGATGGTTTTCTCATCATCTGCAACTGTTTACGGGCAACCTTCAAAAATTCCTTGTGTTGAGGATTTTGACCTTGTAGCTTTGAATCCATATGGCCGTACAAAGGTATACAACATATCTTCTTCCACAAAACATGGAATTAATGTTGAGTTAAAAATTATATAGCTTTCTTTCTTTCTTCTCTAACATAGGATTTGCTCCATTTTACTAGCTTTTCCTTGAAGAAATTGCTCGAGATATACATATAGCAGACCCAGATTGGCAAATTATTCTACTGAGGTACTTCAACCCTGTCGGGGCTCATGAGAGTGGGCAAATTGGTGAAGATCCCAAAGGCATCCCAAACAACCTCATGCCTTACATACAGCAAGTAGCTGTTGGAAGATTGCCTGAGCTTAATGTTTATGGTCATGATTATCCCACCAAGGATGGTACTGCGGTATGTAAAATCCATCAAGATTGTTTTTCTTCAAGATGACTGGGTAGGATTGGCAAGAATTCACTTGGTCATTGACATCCAGTTACTAGTCCCATGTTGAATTTATGTTATATGTTTTTATATTATACTCATAGAATCATCCTTCAGCATGCTGCTAATACACGACTTTCTTGTTAGTCTTATGCAATCGATTAAAATCCACATGCTTTCCTAATTACCAGTTTTATTTTTCTCTTCATTATGCACAGATCAGAGACTACATTCATGTTATGGACTTGGCAGACGGTCATATTGCTGCTCTTCAGAAGCTTTTTACTACAGAGAATCTAGGTGATTGTTCTTATTATCTTGAGTGCCATGTTTCTGAATGAATCTATCATGTCAGAAATATTTGTGGTAATTTTCTTTGGCATTTGGGTGTTCTAAATAGAATTTCATGTCTTAGGATGTGTTGCCTACAACCTGGGAACTGGACAAGGTACGTCGGTGCTTCAAATGGTTGCTGGCTTCGAGAAGGCTTCTGGCAAGGTGATTGTGCGATTCCTTCAAATCACTATCTCTTTCTTTTTCTCAGTCAATTTTTCATTGTGGAACTTTTTCTTAATTGTGTATATCCCAGAAAATCCCCATCAAACTATGCCCAAGGAGGCCGGGAGATGCTACTGCTGTTTATGCTTCAACAGAGAAAGCTGAAAGGGAACTCGGGTGGAAGTAAGTAGATTTCATCTCCTTTTATGCAAATGCAAAACATTCTTTATGATCCTTCAAGATGATGACTGGCGCCGCATAGTTTTTCTTCCTCGCTAATTTTATATCTTGGGTTTCAGGGCAAAATACGGAATAGAAGAGATGTGCAGGGACCAATGGAAGTGGGCGGTAAACAATCCACGAGGTTACCAGTCCAAGTATTGAATGGAATTGTATATAATGCGCACGGAAGTTTGTCTAAGTGACTTACCTCCCACTGCCTTGAGAAATAAAACTGTACTATTTGATGTCCTGCTAGATACGTTCATCTACTAAAGTGTTTTTCCTTTATTTATCTTTTCCATTTAAAAGAAATGTAATTGGGCCACATCATGGGAATAAATTCCTTTTCTGGCAAGTATATATAAATATCGAAAAAAGAATTATGCCATGCATGTTGTGTGGTAACAAATTGAAGCATAAACTTGCGTTTGCTTCTAGAAATGTTTACTTGGGTCTTGGAATTAGGCTGTCTGGAATTTTCTTAGAAATAAACGAATCCAAATTGTCTGAGGAATTTGACCAGTTTTCAGGATGTGATAATTTTCTTAGCACAGAGACGTGCGGGTTTGTAGTTTTAAGCAGCTAAGCAATGGGGGCAAATATTAAAAACGTTTTGATTGAGAGAGAGAGAGAGAGAGAGCTGGCTACTAGAAGAACCCACGAATTAATAAAGTTTCAACGGGAAGTTTACCGGGCAACCTGCAATAATTTTCAATGAAAGGGGGAAAACATAAAAAAGATGAAAATTTGTACAGAATAATTCCATATAAAAGAGAGACGATACCTCTAATATGTTGTGCATTTCAGTGGCAGCATCGGACTGGTCCTCCTTAAATTAAGTGGAAGTTGGATGTGAAGTGGGGGAAGCTTTTCGAATGTCATACAGTATCCACTCATGTCCACTCATATCTTTATATATGTATCGTTCACATGTAGCATAACACGTGAATTAGTAACGCATGATAACGATTTTACTATCACACCCAAGTATTAGAAAAATATCTTTCATTTTAGAATTTGGTACGTGTTACACTATCTGTCCATTGAATTTTTCTAAAGCTTCCTAGGATCTACCAAGGCAGTAACACCGACAATCAATTTCAATTAACTTTCTATTATAAATTACAGGTCAACTTGAAACGTTTTGAGATATTTAGTCATATATCCATTTTTCGCGCTAAAACTATAAATAAATCATACATCATTTAATTTATATAAACAAACCCAAAAAATAACAGCTGACCATATTGAATTTAATTTTAATTATTAGATTACTTTGATACCCTATTGAGTGTTTTGGGCTTTTTTATGAGGTTTTGGGATTGGGTTTGTTTTAAGAAATCAATGGCAGTTTTGTAATTTAAAAAATGTTAAAAGTTTTTTTGTTATGTTGTAAATGTGCTTTGGATGTGTTTCTAAAGTCCATTTCATATAAGGTATTTTATATAATTTAAGTTCCTATATTGGGTATAATAGTGAATCTCCCAAAAGTTAATCAACTTGGGCTTGAGCATCCTAACCTACAAATCATTCAGAACAAACCATTTCTTGATCATTTTGGATTTTCACCATATAGGGGATTCTGTTGAAGGCATTAGTTATGCTGCTCATGGGTCATGCTGAAGCCCTAAGAAATGCTTTAAATTGAAGTAATTTATAGTCAAAATCATTCTGCTGATCTTGGGAGATGAGGATCAGTTGAAGATAAGGCTGGTGATGTGGATCAAGATGGAGCTTCTAGAACTTATTGTTTTTTTCATTTTGATTGTTTGTTTCAGCCTTTTTGTTGTTTTCTGTGTTGTTCAGTTACTATGAAACTCTTTGCAACATTCATGGTGCTGATGATTGAGATTCTGCAAAAAAATAGACATAGAGGAAGATCACGTGTGAGAGTTGCCCCGAAAGGCCAGCTCCTTTCAATCTGGACAACCTCAAGTGGTCAAACCCTTTGGGCTAGCCAAGTGGTTAGGGTTCGTGAAAAAATAGTTAAGATTAAGATAAGCGATAATGCAGTTGATGGGGATCGGGATCAAGACACAGGTCACCAACCACATACACGAGCACCGAAATCTATGGCTAGTGCAAACTCACATATATCGTAGCAAATCCATGCCACAAATAAACTATTTCATTAATCATCAATATTCAATTCCTACAACTATTACAATAGCCTTATTTATAGGCTTTACAAGACTTGGGCACCAAAACTGCTTGGTCCAAAAGCAAACTAATTAATTATAAAATCACACATAAATAATAAAAGATATCCTAAAACTACCTAAATAAGAAAATAACAATATATCAAGAAATAGCTAATTAAATGGTAAATATCTATCTTGATCCACCCCTATGCTTCTGCATCAGGAGTATAACTAACAAAAAATCAAATGATAAAAGGCTTGTACTTCAAGTGATTAAAGGTAGTTACCCCTACATTTGTGGTCACGTGTTCGAATTCCCCTCTCTAATATTACTTTGTATCAACTAAAGAGAAAAGCTCGGATGCTTTACCATACTGTAAAGTAATTGGTGTAAAGGTTGTAATGCTGATCATCGAAATCTCTTATAGTTTGTTTGGACCGTTTAATTATTAATTTTGTTTTGGAGTCTATGTTTGATCGTGTTGTGTGAACGCTCTTTGAATTATTTGTACTTCAAAGAGTCGCAAAAAGACACCCATAAAAAATAATTTTGGGTCCCCCTTTCTCACAGATTTTTCCATTGCAATCTTCGTAATGTACCTGTCACAAGGTGTTTTAGTCTTATTTGAGAACATGTCAATTCATTAAGTCCAATAACAACTTCTACATGCCTCTGTTTTGGACTGCTTTGGACTGGACATACAAAGTTCAACCTTTCAAACTGAAATGTCCACAAATTAATATTCCCTACCTCCAAAGGCATCCACAAACCTAACTTCATTAAGGCTCAGGGGCAGCACTAGGTAGAAAACAGCTAACAACCAAAGAGTGTTTTGCCTCCATAGGATACCATGGAAAGACTTTTTTGCGCGAATTAATCTTTTAAATTTATGACATGTTTACTAATTCGTAATTGAGTGATGATGAATTAATTGAGAAGGAATTGAATTGAGGATGACTTTTTTTTGACAATTAATCTTTTAAATTTATGACATGTTTACTAATTCGTAATTGAGTGAGAATGAATTAATTGAGAATGAATTAATTGAGAAGGAATTGAATTGAGGATGAGTAGAATCCTAACTTATGTAAACTTATGGCATGTTAATTGATAATTTTAGCAATTATTATTATTTTTTTTTAATGATTTCCGTTTGTCAATTTGGACTAGAATTGCCAACCTTTCAAAAGCAATGGATGCAAATTGTCAAAATAAAGAAAAGAGGGACCAACATGAAAAACTAAACGAGTTACCGGGAACAAAACGTAAATTGGGCAAAAAATAATAATAAAATAATAGAAAATGAAGGAATAGGAGAAGCTTCTGGAAAAGACGTTAGAAGAAAAACCTACTAATTCTCTCTCTTAGCCCCTACTTCTCGCGCCTTCCTATCCGTTGTTTAATCACTCCCTCTTGTCCGTGGGCCCCCACAGGTTTTGCCCTTTTCCAATCTCCTTTTCCTTAAAAAAATAAAACAATTACTTTCTCTCTTTCCTTCTCGAACCCACGAATTCCCTTTTTCCGTCTCGCTCCTATCATTTACTCCACCCGCCCGAGAATCTTCTAGAAACAACAAAAAGAGCAGGGAAATTCTCCCCGCCTCTCTCTCTCTCTCTCTCGCTCTCTCGGAGCTGCTGCGGCTTCTTCTGGTTAAGCCTTGGTGCAACAGACCAAGCACTGTTCTGGATAGAGTTAGCTTTCGTGTAGGAAACGAACTTTCTTTTCCAGTTTTTGGTTTGGTTGGTGGGAAAATCCCTACACTTTGTTCATCCCAAAGCCTCACTTTCCAGGTACATACGTTTCCTTTAATTTAATTTATTTTTTTCTGAAGCTGTAGACATTTCATACATGAAATTAAATAGAATTTTCCTTTCTTCAATTTTTATTTATTTTTAATTGCTCCACGGTTTCTCTGCAACCAAATGAAACGTTAAATCATTTTAATTTATTTGTTATATTGAACAACAGTTACTTATTTGATAAATCAGTTGCTATTAGAGCTCGGATCTGAGAAGCCGAAGGCCTAGAGGCCATGGCGTCGTTGCAGGCCGACCAGAACGGCGACTCCGGCCCCGTTAACGGCGCTGGAGGAGGTGGAGACTCACAAAGGACGCTTCCGACGCCGTTTTTGACCAAAACGTATCAGCTGGTGGACGATCCGTCCTTCGACGATTTGATCTCGTGGAGCGAAGACGGATCGGCCTTCATAGTCTGGCGACCCGCCGAATTCGCCAGAGATTTGCTCCCCAAGTATTTCAAGCATAACAACTTCTCCAGCTTCGTCCGCCAGCTCAACACTTACGTAAGCCCTCTCTGTTTCCCTCACTTTCCTCCTCTTTCTCGGCAGCCAAACAACCTTAAGCACGTAAATATTCTATTTTCTAATCGATTTCTATTGTACTTGCAGGGATTTCGGAAAGTTGTGCCGGATCGGTGGGAGTTCGCGAATGATTGCTTCAAAAGAGGCGAGAAAGGCCTCCTACGGGAGATTCAGCGCCGGAAAATCTCGCCGTCGGTGTCGGCGTCCCCTGCGGCGATTACCGCGACGTTGGCGACGGTGTCTGCGGTGGCTCCCGGGATATCTCCGTCGAACTCCGGCGACGAGCAAGTGATCTCGTCGAACTCTTCACCGGTGGCGCCTCCGGCTACGATGTTGAGCCGAATCCGGAGCTGCACCACGACGTCGGACGTTCTGGAAGAGAACGAGCGGCTCAGGAAAGAGAACATGCAGCTAAGTCACGAGCTGACTCAGCTGCGCGGCTTGTGTAACAATATATTGGCATTGATGACGAACTACGCTTCTGGTCAGTTGGAGGGCGGCGGCGGTGGCGGTGGCGGTGGGAGTGTAATGGATGAGGGTAAGCCTCTGGAGCTGTCGCCGGTGAAGGAGGCTGAGCCGTCTGAAAACGGCGTCGTTCGCGAGGGGTCTAAGGCGGAGGCTTCGGCGGAGGAAGAGGAAGACGAGGAGGAGGAGATGAGGCCGAGGCTGTTTGGGGTGTCGATTGGGGTGAAGCGCGTGCGGAGAGACGAGGAGGAAGAGGAGCAGCATCGGGAAGGGTCTGAGGCGATGAAATCAGAGCCGTCAGATGGGAGTTCGAAGCGCGATCAGGACTCCACGTGGCTGGAGCTCGGAAAGTGACGGACTTGATCGGATGACGATGGTGATTATGATTTGTTTTTCCGGATAATGGAAGAGTGGACGGCACCGCACGAGGAGAAAAGTGCGCACGTGCGAGTCAAATGACTGATAGCGCCACGTCGTTTGTCGAAAGAATTGATCAGATTTTCTAGTGTGTTCTGGAAACTGCGAAACGACGCCGTGCGTTATAGTTTGGGCGCGGATGAAATTTTTCCTTAATCCATGAAGCGCCAGAAGAGTTAGGCGGGAACAGTGAAACATGTGAGCCCGCTTGTATAAATTAATTCCTTAAAAATTTTATCCATGAATTGTTGTTTGTTGTTTCAAAAGCAGACGGACAAACAGAAACACGCCACATTTGACTAATGTGGTGAATGTATGTTAGGGATAATTTAGCTCATTTCAAGATTAGCATGATTTCGTTGGTTTTCATTTTGCTAGTTTGCTAGTGTCCAATCAACGTTGTCCGTTCCTTGCACCTGAATTCGATCCTCCGGTTCGATCCCTTCTTCGTATAATCTAGAATGCAGCTTTGTAAAACAAAAAAACAAACACAAAAAATCACGTAATTTTGGTCTGGTTTGGCTATGTGAGTCATCCATCAGCTATGCTCATGGTTGATTGATGATTGACAATGGACTTGTCATGTTAGGTTCGTTATCCGTAAGGATAATTGTTTGGGCCTAAAATGGCAAAAGACCCGTTAAGGGATTTTGAGTAATTTTTCATCATAGTAATCAGCCATGTTAAGCCACTTGGATGCGTTACATTCATTATTATTCTAAAGAAACTCACACAAGTTGGATGATGGCTAGAGGAAATACTTTTGGAACAGCCTCTAAAACCTCTTATAAACACTGTTCATAGTGTGCCTGGCAATCCCCCGTCCCATAAATTTGTCTGTGATCTGTGGTTTATGTTTATTCGATACTAGAGAAGGAGAGAGTTGAACTCGAGTGTAAATGGGCGAACAAGCACACATACAATATCTTGATCAACTCATTGAACCCACGTTTGCGGTCCCAAATTATTAATCAAAATTTATGGACCATGCATGCATGCCTACAGAAATGGGCCGACTAAGGGTTCTTCTAGCCTTTTGGGCCACAAAAAAGAAAGTTTCCATGGAAGCTTTTCTTACTTTTGATCCCCATCAACAACGACGTTGTCAAAAGGTACGTGACATTAAATGGGACAATTTTATGTGCTGGACTTGAAAGGGAATGTTTTGGTTTGACATTGAAGACCCTAAAACGAGGCTTTTAGCTTATTTTCTATAACATTTCGTCCATTTTGTCTAGTTCATGGAGTAGACGAGAGAACAGGCTTACAACAAAAACTAGGTTTAGAGTTTTTGAGGTGCCATTAAGTTATGGCAATTGGTCGGATTCAGAGCCAAGGACCTTGGGGAAATAGGACTTTGTTCTTGCATATTGATTCTTCATCTTTCTTTCGTCCAGGCATCGAACTACTTTGGATATAAGCCCAATTGTATATAATTTATCGAGAAGCATTACAAAATGTCTCCTAGATTTTAGCACTCAAACTCCAGGTTTTTGGATTGAATGGAATTTATGAGCTGGATGTCCTTGCCCTTTCTACTACTAGTTTTCAAATTCTACTTTTATGGATTGAAACAAAGAGTTTTGGGTCCAGATAAATGTAGTTTGTTATGTAATCTCACTGTAAATTTTGTTCTCTGTTTCCCAATGTGAACACTCAAATAGAACATTACATGGTAAAAACGAGCATGTTAACAGTGGCATCGTTAAAATCTTCTTGGAGAAAACCACATAGAATAAAACCCCAGAGCATAAAGTACTTCCCATGCTAATGACTAATCAAAAGAGTCAAACACCTACTACAAGTAAGCTTGGGTCAGGCGACCCCCATCTTCACTGGTGCACATTCTGAACAAGGATGGGTTACCCAGCCCTCACTCTTAGATCGCATGGAGGCTTGTTGCAGGTGGCGAGGTTTAGATTTTAGAGCAACTTTGTAACGTTTGTTTTTGGCTACTTGCAGCTTGCTTTTAGTTTGACTTCTTTGTTCGTCCTGTTTGTCTAGGACTTTTTTCCCTTGTTTGGTTTCATTTTGGTGGATGCGACTTTGGCCCGTTAATGAAATCCTACTTTCTGACCCCAAAAAAAGAAAAATCAAACCACTCGAGACCAATTCTCCCTAACACCATTTAGAAGCCAAGGAGGCCCATCACCCAACCAAAAACAAAGCTCCTCCACACAAAGACTAAAACAACTCGAAACCAATCATCTCTATTCAGATAAATGTAGTTTGTTATATAATCTCACAGTATATTTCGTTTTCTGTTTGCAATGTGACCACACTCAACTTTCCTCATGGTTCATCAATGAGACAAATTGACTCGTTATTCTATGAATTTTGTATATTGCAATGTCCTTATGAAATTATTGAGAGTCAATCTAGACTTACAAGTCAACCACTTGGATAGTGCCTAGAACTATAACAAATAAAATTACAAGCAAGATTCTCTGAGGAAAGTTAGTAAACCAAATACAAGTATTAAATTTGTCGATCGACTGCAATATATTTTAAGATTTCCCCTAATTAATTTGGTTCTCTTTATACATATATATATACACACAAAAAAGAAAAAAAATTAGAAAATTGAGAAGTAAATGAATATCCCGATCCTGTGGTGAGTCAACAAGTGCTTCACTTTCGGTCCTAAAGTCAACACAATCTGCCAAGAACATAATGTTTAATGTGAACCCTGCCGCTGCTGGGCTGGGACCAATCTATAAAGTAAAGTGGCAAAGCTTGTTTTTTTTTTCCTTGTTCGCTTTGGACAATACCTAGTTCCTTCTAGTTGGGTGTATATTTGTGCCGACCACTAACATGACCTATAATATTATGAAAAGATCAGCAAAATTGGGTTGACTACTTCAATTCCACTCGATGCCCATGTGTTTACATTTTTCCAGACTTCTACCGTGAAATTGCTCTGCAAATTAATTTGCATGCAGGCGATCAAAAGACGGCACTTGCAATTTGCAAATTAAAGAAAATTTTGTAACAAAACGACTTGTGCATCTGCCGTATGCTGCATGACAACTTGGTGGAAAAATAAATCACGGAAAGAAGCTGCCTTGTGCTACTTAACAACACATTAAATGCATGGTTTGAGCCACTATCTATACAAGAAATTAATATTAGTATAATTTTATTTTTGCTAGAAAAACAAAATAATTAACAATAAACAACCTTGGTATGGGTGTGCTTTTTATTTATTTATAATAAAAATGAATTATTGCAAATCCTAAATTACTTTTAAATATTCACAATCATTTACAAACGAGAATAAAAGACAAACATATAATAACGAGAAAATTCAAACAGAGGATTCGGATCATCAAGAAGTGGCGAAGCTTAGGCCCTACTGCTTTCGAGAGAGACATTAAAAATGATTGGCACACTTCGTTTAGTGACTGACAGGCATATGGGTAGGGGGAAAACATCAAAACACAAAAACCGTCCCTCTAAAGTTGACTTGGCAAGCGGGAAAATTCCATTGCTTTGTTGAGTGTATGAGTCATATAAAGCTGCATCATCTACCCTTTTAAATTTCCATTTCCAAAATTCTCCATTATTATTCCACAAGGAAACTGCACTGTAATTAACCCCCTTCAAACCCTTTGAAGATCCCAAGAACCCTGTCTCTCTCTCTCTCTCTCATATTTAATTTCCTATTATTGCTACACACTTTCACATATATTATATATGTATATATATATATATATATACAAACTCATATATATATATATGTATATAATTAGACCAATCAACTCCAACCCAAGTTCAATATCATCATGTTGAAGGAGTACAATCACTAGCAACTGATGAAGATGGAGATCACAGTGATATCAGCCCGATGCCTCAAAACCACCTCCCCTATCTTCTCAAACAAGATCAGACCCTTCATTACCCTCACCACCACCAACGGTGATCACAAGTGCCACGTGTACAGCACAGGGGTGGATGATGAAGGAGGTATCAACCCTACATGGGGTGACAAATTTCATGTCCCTGTGGACACAAGTTTCTTCACAAACAGGTACTCTTGCATATATCTGCAGCTTTACAGCAAGCGTCTCATAATGGGCCGGACCCAGTTGGGCTGGTGCCAAATCTCGCCCCAAGATATTGGGTTTCCGCCGGCCGGTTCAGCACGGTACTTGAGTTACCGGCTACGGGCTAGAGACGGTTCCAGGACCAATGGGATTGTGAACCTTTCTGTGAAGTTGGAAAATTTGGGTCCGGTCAGCGGTCATGGGCAGCCAAACTCCGTCAATGCGCCGTCATTTGGCATGTGTGGCACAGTCATTGGAACGCCGGTGACAGCTCTAATGCCACCTTTGGGTGAGGTCTCTGTGAGTTGTGAAGGGCAGTTAGATCACGTGGGTTTTGGTTGTAAAGAGGCACATAGATGGACCACGTGTGATTCTGAAGGGCACCCTTCCAGAAATTGAGAGAGCATCTCAACGCGCGAGTATTACCACTACATTAATTGACGTTGGATCAAATTTTCAAAAAATACGTGTTTTATGTACCAATTAGCTTAGCTTTTGGTTTAGTATTTGTTGTTTAAATATCGAAAGATGTTGCAAATTTGAATTATTCATCGTTCATTATAAACACTGTTTATTTTAGTACCATTACGAAGAAAAAAGAGGAAAAAGATAAAAAGAAAAGGAGAGAGGTGTTAATTTAGGGGACCAAAAAAGCAAACTAGCACTAATTGTCACTAATTGTCAAGTACAAGTATTGGAAGATAAAGTGAGTAAAGCTACTCATGAAAATCCAATTAGGTAACTATCACCACTCATGCATCATCCTTCCACATTCCTCCCAAGTGTAAATCCATGGCAACTGTAAGCTCATCTTTACCTACAATCATTTCAAATCCCATGATTTTTTTCAAAGTGCTCTGAATGTGATGGGCTATCTAATTCACAACTACTATGGTGACTCAAGCAATAAAGAGCCCACATGAGGCCATTATTTGTGTTTGTCTTTTCTCAAAGTTTTATTCCCTCCATGTCACATGATATGAGATCCACATGAATCATGTACTTTTTCTTTTGTCTTTTTTCTTTAGAGTTTAGGAAAATATTTTTACTCACTACTTTAATTCACTATGTATTCTCACTATTATTTTCAACACTTGACATGTGTCCATGAGAATAACCATAGTTAACTCTTTGCTTTGTATTTGTGGAATCATGATTATACCCATAGACAAATGTCAAGTGTTGAGAATGATAGTGATGGTACACTTGGGGTTAAAGTGGTGAGCAAAAATATTCTCTTTTTCCATCGGACGGAGGGATGAAAGAATACAACACAAAATCTTGAATGCATGAGAAAATTATTGAGTCTATTAGAGCATCTCCAGTGATAGGTTGTATAATGAGGTATATGTTAAATATACACCATTTGTGATCAAAATCACCTACAATGGAGAGGTGTAAACGATTGTAAATTTGCATCACAACCGTGAGATGCAAATTTAGATGCACATATGCATCTTTTTTACATCCTTTGCAGGTGGGGCCTACATGAGAAAATGTGAGAAAATGTGGACAAAAGTGAGCAAAATCAATTATACATCTTTAGATTTACATATTCCCTATTGGAGTAAAAACCACATTTACAACCCCAAAAGATGTAAAGAAGATGTAAAAGTGGTTTTACACTCCCGAAAATATACATCCACTGTGGATGCTCTTAGGCCCTGTTTGGTTCACGGAATGAATTTGAGGGAAAATTATTTCTCATCTTATTTCCCAAGTGATGGGAAATGGAAGATTCATTTCTCACGTTTGGTAATACTGAGAAAGCAACCTGGAGATAACACTTTATTTCCTTTCTCATGTTTGTTTTGAGTAGGAATGGAAAACAAAGTTTGTATAAATTTTCAATTATACCCGTATTAAATTAAATAAAAAAAATGCATTTAATGATATGTTGTAATTCTAAATTGTTAATGGGGATAAAATGATCATGAAAAATGTGTAATTAATATTGGTTCATTTCCCCAAACTTTCCCATGAGGAGGGAAAACAAAACTCAAGTTGGGAGGATGGCTTCACTTTCCCCCATACTTTTTCATGGGCCAGTCTACGATTTCTCATGCCTTGACTTACCCAATATGGGAAAGTAATTGATTTCTCATTCCCAAATCTCATTTTCCATGAACCAAACATGGCCTTAGTGCTTTCCTATCTTGGAAAATTTGAGGCTCTTTAAATGCTCCTAATCGTTAAAGGGATAAAATCCTTATCACTAGAGTCTATTTTACGTTAGAGAAAAAGTAAAATTTGAGGAAGTACTTGAGTGTGGATCTCTTGTTGGAGATGATGCGTGTTGACGGTATGTCGGGACTCTAATTTTAAATTATGAGTGCTGATTTTAAGACATAAAGGTGTAATTGATTATGATATCATGTGGAAGATGGAAAGTAGCCATAGGTGCAAAATTAGATCACATCGAGTCATTGACATTGACACAAATAGTGCTCTCTATTTTTCTCAATTTGTACATTCAATCCTAATATTAGGAATATCAACATGATCTTATTCAGATTCACAGATATAAGATGATTATGTTGCCATAGTGTGGGAAATTATTTGTACATCTAATTCTAGTAGATATATTTAAATTTTAATATGAAATTACTCGATTCGAGGTTCTATAACGTGGCCATACAGTCTAACAAGAGAATATTTTCCTTTGATACTACATGCAATTGGATTTTAATACGAAATTACTTGATTTAAGGTTTTAGGAATGTATTCTACTCGCAATATAGGGACAAACTATTCTAAAATCTCCCAATTTTGGGCCGCTGCAGAATAACAGAACTGATAGTCTTTTGGTATTTTATGTTTTGCCCCCTTAAATTAACGAACAAACTAGCATCATAATGGAGGTGGTAGTTTGCTAATAAAGCTGTACGGATACCCGAATACAAAAAATTGGCTGGCTGCACACAAATCTCGGTGCCTCATTTTTCTACCGGTCTGGAGAGCCAACTCGATGCCCTTTTGGCATCTATTTGAGAACAAGTTGCCTTACAGCCCGTTCTCTTGCTGCGCACTACCACGCCACGTTCCTGATTTCAGATGTTGCATCTTGAAGTTTCTTCTTAAATGTCTTAAAACTAGTAGGGCTCATCTTGTTCCAATGAAATGACGTGCTTCGATTCGTTAGATCTGATCTGAGAGGTGACCGGGAAGTTGGATCCTTTGACGGAGTGTCTTCATACTCTGCAATTGAAAAAAGGGAAAAAGAAAAGCAAAGAGAAATGCAGACATGAGTGTAACATAAACTGTCTATTTCTAGCCAGAGAAATTCGGTTGTAGAGCTGCAGGTTAGACCATAAAATATCAGAAGAAAGAATTATGGAACCTACCTTTTTTTTCAATTATTAAACCAGAAATAGAAAATCAAAATAGAGAAACATCATCACATTGATGTTAGTTGGAAATATAATGTCTTCAAAGAAAAATTCTAAATAAAACACGAACAGTTCCAAGCCATGTTTCCACTAAGTTTTTCTGTTTCTTGTGATTCTGAAGATAAAATAGTTTGACTATCATTCTTGAAGCACATTCTTTTAAAAAATAAAGAATCATTTCATAAGCAATTGTGTCAAATGCTTTAACAACATATTTGCTGCTCAATGACGTAAACATGCTCCTCTCCAAGATTTAAAAGGGAGAACTTCCTCCCGTACACAATCTTCGTGGAGATCTTAGGTTAATCTCAGGATGCTAAGACGGGCTCAGAGTTCCACTATAACATAATAGAGCAAACCGCCATTCCCACTTTTTCCATTTTTTTTTTAATTACCAAAACGCACTTTCTCCACTAGCATATAGATCATTATTGCATTATAACCCTATCTTTCATGCAATGAAATAGATGGAGAGGAAAAATCACCTGAAGACATGGGGAACTGATATTGCCTTTTTAAGAATTTGGAGGCCTCTCTATCTTTCTTGTGGCATAAAATCCGCACCAAAGTGTGAGCACTATTTAAACGCACATGATTGTGATCATGTGAATCTAAGCCTGATGATATTTGTTCACTTGCAGCCATCAGCATTTGGATAATACTTTCAGTCTACAGAAACAGAGGTCGTGTCATGCTGCCAGTTTCAGCCTTTCAAGTTCAACAGAGGGTATACAATTCTCATTACAAGAGACCAAACCTGAAAAGAATACATGTTCAGTATCTGCTCAGCAAATTTAGCTTCCTGCTCCACTAGTGATCGAGGAAGGCCTTCTCCATCAGCTACAAAAAATTCCTAGGACATTTCGCAGCAAAGCTCCATTAGCAACCAATATATGGTTATGTGTTGTGACAAAAAGTAATGAGTATGTAGCGTAAACCATCCCCAGGTACTTACAGACCCAAGCTATCTCCATAAGTTAGGGATGTACATCAAGTGGTATTTGTTTATGAGCTCAAGTTTATGCATGCAAGCATGAGTGACATAAACAAGTGCAACTTCCAGAGTTTTGGAAATTCTTCTCTTAGGTCATTGAGTTTGAAAGCAATTTGATATTAAAGTTAGTGGCAACACATTTGACCATTTCTTTCTGAACAAGTTTACCTAAGCATCTAAGAATTAAGAGTGATTTTGTCTCAATGCTAGTTGGAGATACACAGAGAGACAGAGACAGAGCACCATACCTTTAGTGTGGCAAGGTCATCCTCCATCAGTAAAATGTCTGAATCACAAAATGCACGAGAAGGCCCTCCATCAAGCAGCACCCATACAAAGCCTTCCTAAACCACATATGATGCAAGATTAAAACCACCACAAGAAACGGGCCACAGAAGATTAGGTTCTAATCAGGAGACATACCAGTGATGCCCGAAAGATGCTTAAAACCACAACATCTCGAAGAGAATCATCAATTAAACCACATAGATGACCAAGGACCTACAAAAATGCCTCTAAGGTGAAGAGAATCCACTTGACAATATTTGATGAAACCATAACCACAAACTTACACAGAGAGAGAGAGAGAGATTAATATCTTACAGCATCAATATGTGTGAGAACACCATCCAAACGAGCACCTTCAACATTACCACAGTATAAACCGAAAAGGAATGCATGCCTGAGATCCAAGAACACGACTCTTGCACCTAGAAATTGAATTTTAACAAACATGATTGAGCATAATTGTCTTCTATCATCATGCACATCCACACACTTATATCATTTAAATTTATTTTAATGGAGAAAACTAAGTAGGTTCCTTAATTTCACCAAGCAACAATGAGATATAAATAAGTTCACAGAAATATAATAATACAGAATGGTGAGCAAGAGCAGGTTAGGCAAACAAGTTATATTAGACCATCAAGTATCACCCCCTCCCTTGAAGCATGAAACTTAACATTCACATACTCTATTCAAAATTTCAAGTGAAGCTAAGCATAAACGCCTAT